ATTCTAGATTTTATCAAAAGGTATTAATTAACCCTAGGATCAAATGTCAACCTTATATCTGAAAAACCTAAATGATCTATAATAGAATTCATTCTACTAGCCCAACTAGAGGTACTTACATTATTATATAAATCATTAAACATTTGATAAATAGGTAAATCATTACTTTTCATGATTTTCAACCAAAATTTAATGCTTCTTTCTTTACATATAACTGACAGAGGCACTCGGCCGAGTTCACCATATACCGCATATGTAGGAGTTTGTTTCTTCACGCCTAATATATATTTACAAAATCGAATATGTAATTTATCTACCTCTTTATAATTATAAGCACCCCAAACTTCACATCCATACGTTAATATAGGGACAATCATACTATCAAAAAGAAATAACTTGGTACGAATATCTAGACTAACATTATCAAAAACGTTTAAAAGATTATTATACGCCCTAAGAGCTTGCTAATGCAGTGCTTTTACAGCATTTACAAGAGTACCAGTGTAAGTAAACTTGATTCCAAGATAAATAAATTGTCAACAATTTCAATTTTTTCGTTATCTATATAGAAGTCAGGATATACAGTTTGTTTTCTCTTTTCAAAACCACAAATTTTTGTTTTACTAACGTTTATTTTCAAACCCCATTTTTAAGAATAATGTTGCACAGCATTAATTTAAGCCTGTAGGCTATTTGGATCCGTCGTAAATAATACAACATCATCAGCAAATAAAATCATATACCTAGACAAAAGTTCAAAGTCCCTTTCAGTCAAAGCATTAAAATCCAAATTTTCAGAAATATCATTGATGAAAAGTAGAAAAAGTAGAGGAGACAAAGGTTCTCCCTGCTTTAAACCTATCGTTACATTAAAGAAGTCTGACATATTCATGTTATTTGACAATTTCACACAAGCTTGAACCTTTAAATATATACATTTGATCATATTTGTCATTTTACAGCTAATTCCTGATTGTAACAGTTTATTCCATAATTTATCTCTACAAACAGTATCAAATGCTCTTTGGTAATCAATAAAAATACACCAGAGTTTTGATTTTTTTGATAGAACCTTCTGTATAATAGCATGAAGTAGGGAAATAGCATCTGCTGTAGAGCGACTAACCATACTGAGAATCATTAAAAACATGTTCTTGTTCACACCAGCTATTAATACGATTTCTTAATATCAAAGAAAATATCTTCCCTATAACATTTATTAATGTAATACCTCTATAATTCACAGGTATATTTTTATCACCTTTTTAATATAGCGGAACAATAACTCCTTTAGACCATGCTTCAGGATATAAACAGTTATTATAAATATAGTTAAATATTGTACATAAATAGGGAGATATAACATTGTTTGCATCAATAAAAAAATCGGCTACATTATTGTCATAGTCACAACTTTTGTATCTTTTCAAAGAAGATATTGTTTTTTGGACCTCTTCCACAGAAATTTCTCTATCAAGAAAATCAATATTTACAGTTTCGTGACTCTCTTGTGAAAATTCATCACGTTCCGACTGGCTTTGACTATCATTAGACATATTTTTAAAATAATTTTTAAACCCCTCAAGATTAGCATTAGATTCAAATCCACCTGTATTTCTAAATTTTTTAATATATTTCCAAAATTTACGAGGAGACGTTTTACTAATATCAGACATTTTTATTTTTTCTCTATGAAAATACTTGCTTTTAGCCGCCTCTTTAACTTTAATTTATTTTTTCCTACAAGTAAGCAAAACTAATTTATTTTCTTCGGATTTAACGCTAGCATAACGTCTCTTCGCACCCAAAAATAACTTTTTTGCATGTCTACAATCATCATTGAACCATAGCGATTTCCGCTTCTTTTGTTTTGGACAATTATTATACGTCTTACCGTAACATGAATATGAAATATCATAAACTCTGTCAGAAAAACATGTCACACATTGATTGATATATATTATATTATAATAATTGACTAGTGCATCGGATATTCAGCTGTAATAGAGAACGATTTTCAAGGCTGATTTTGTGCATTACCGTTCACATCATTTGGCGGCGTCTTTGATGTGCAGCATCAACATTTAACTTGTTTACGCCTGATAAATACTTCGAACATAATTCCTTATTACCAGCTGTATTGCTAAAATATGAGTCATTCTGGAAACTGAATTGTTTTCAACTATCACAGAAGTTGTAATTTTATCATGCTCACTCAGACACACAGCTTAAAGTACAGCAACAAACTTACACACATAATGAAAACATAGGGATTGTGTTTTAAGAGAAAGAACATCGAAAGACGAGGCTATCTGATTTGTACGAGAGGGCGTAGCACCCAGTATTAATCAGATTACCGAGTGTTTTGATGTTCTTTCTCTTTTGTATCATAGTCAAACATAAAAACATATTACCTGTTGTCACAATATGAAACCATAGAAAAAAGTAACCAATGAACGAGCATCTGCATAAGATATTTCTATCGCTTTCCCTTACTCTGCCGTCACTATAAGTAAATCCCAGCAAAAATGAGCTACTTTGGAGTGAAGGTTAGCTAATAATTACCTGCAGTCCAGTTGCATGTATATGTATACGGTTTAATCATGACACACTTTCAACAAAAAGGTCCCAAAATTATGATACAATGATAATTGTGCGATTTGAAAATAACAGACACTTAACACATTAACATAAAAAGATAATTGTGTGTTTTGATTTATAGCAAAATACTATACATAATCCATATTAATTCTTCAACATTAACCCTTTACCTCCTATATACGCGAAACAACGCATTTTCGGCCCCCCCCTTTTTTAGGCCTCAAATAGTGAAAAAAATGTCCTATTTGGGCCCCAAACACATGTTTTCGTTTGAAAAATGTTGCTAAAAAAATGAGCACTTTTTCGGCGCCGACCCCTATCCAAAAGATACATCAGGGGGTTGCCAGATGTGCCCCCTTCTGTTAGGGGGGTTTGAAGGGGGGCGGAGTACCTCTCATCGCCAAGAAAATTTTGGACTTGTGAGAGGCTAAAAATGACCCCAGGTCGATCATAATGTAACGTGTAACCTACGCTGAAAAGCCTTTGACTCTATCTCAATCCCTTGAGAAGTTGCAGCACTTTGAATTAAATTTTGATGGAAAAAATCGAGGCAAAAATAGTGATTTTGGCAATTTTGAGATGTCCCTTCGTTGCCATGGTAACAGGAAATTTAAGACTGAGCATGTCGTTATGTACAAAGGCAATGGTCCAGTCAACATTTGTGCCAAGTTTGATTAGTATTGAAGCATTTTTCATAGTTTCATAGCAGTTTGAACTTGTAACAGGAGGCTTTTCAGTGAAAACGGCAATTTTTCACAATATGCTCATTGGGGAAAGGGTTAAGACGAACAGCTATCAATAGAAACGCATTCACATTCAAACTAACTTAGTTTGTGTGCGGAATATTTTATTTAAAAGCCAGGCTGCGAATTTGATAAAGAGGTAGATACAATAAATTAAACGTAAATAGGATCTGTCGATTTCTCTATGTGATAAACATTTAACATGCACTTAAATCATTACTTTAACATGCTAAAACTAATGGTTGCCATTTCTGAAGAAGGAAGAATATATTCGTTTTTTGGGCATAGTGTGCCTTAAATACCACGTAAGTATATTTTGACCTGTATGCATAGATATTATAGTTGTTGGGCATATGCCTTTGTAAAGAATAGTATGTAAACGCTAGGATTTGTTAAATTATGTTCTATCACAGATATACATACATACTTTATATGTAGCTCAATTGTTATATTCATGTCCGCTTAAAATAAGCTAAATTCAAGACATATAAATTACATTATTTATATACCAACTTATATGTTTTACGAAGCCGAAAGTACTGCATATACCTGTCGACGAGGTTTGGGATTTGAATATAATTTTTTGAAACTTGGCACTGACTGTCAGACATATTTTACAAGCATAGCTTTATCAAAATTGACTTTATTTTCCGTTGGAAGTAAAATAAATACACAATGCAATTATTAAACCCTCTGTTTTTGTTCACTTTTAAAGTTACGTTGTAGAACTGCTGTCAATTCGTATTCATTTCGAGATTATCATGCATAATCGTCGATTTGTTCCAAAAGTTAGCCATGTACTCTAAATTTTGATTTGCTATCACCACCGACTGAATGAAAATTCCAAGACTGACATTATAACAAAGAAAATTAGCATACAAACACAAAATAACATAAAAGTTAGTTAATCGTTTATTTTATTATTTCTCTTCTTAACTTGGCAGATGACGAAACTCTTACTGATGTAGATTTAGTTGTTAAAATTACTTCATATATGCAGTCTTTATAGTTCACATGGTTACTTTAATATCTCCGAATTATACTGTTTAAAACTGCTAGATAGAGTGTTTATTCGTATTTAGAATGTTCGGGAAAATGTAGCTTCTTGGGGGTACCTATTTATGCCCAGACACTTTATTTTCAATACTGTTCCTCGCATGAAAATCATATAGTTAAAATATTCATGAAATAATGTCATAAGTCTTATCTATTTTATAATTAAACATATTATGAAAATGAAAAATATGGAACTTGTACATTGGACATACTCTTCATGTGTATTCATCATTAATCATTTAAATGTACCCGTTTTTAAACTTCACTTTCCTTATAGAAGATAGATAGATAGATACTTTTATTTCCTCCAATATTTGAAGAGCTGAAAATTTGAAATAGTAACTCAAAAAAATAGTTTGACTTCCTATGCTTATAGAACATGTGATATTAAAATCACTTTATGTAATAAAACGACGAATATCTGCAGTTATTCAAAACTGACATATGTTTCATTTTAAAACGTAAAACGTCTAGCTATCTTTTCCGTGCAAGCTATAGCTGGGATAAAAAAAATCCTAGGTGTAAGTTAACACTTTTATGACATATATAGGGTTTTTAAATATTCATCATAAAAGACAATGACAGGTGCACATTACTTACATGCATTTGTTTCCTACAAGTAAATATTCCAAACGTATTTTATATCACGTTGTTCTTCATTTAAATTCCCAAGCGAGAATATAAACAAATGTACATCAAAATATGATAGTGAACTGCCAAGGTTACCGGATTACCTGCTTTTGCAGCTGTTCAGTTAGTTAGAAAGGAATGAGATTGGTTGGCAGAACGTCTGATAAACAAACATATCTAAATTGTGTTTGTTTGTTTGTTTGATTTACCACTCTTGTTACATATAACGAACAACTGTATATATTTACGCAGGAGAAGCGGTGAGGGATGGAGCGTTAGGGACTGAAACCGCTGCTCCTAGACAGCCTGACCTGTTGAACTTATTTTTATTAAAAAAGATGTTTCAAATGTAATATATCAAGATATGCTCACTGAAGATAAATGTAGGTCACTTTATCCTTAATTGAAGCCTACATCCCTACTGAGCTCCCCATCGCTTGAATAAAATATATGCTCGAGATCTTTAAACAGGCTAAGGATAACCACACTGTTTAATGTCAACTGTTCTCTTTTAGAACTAGTTGGGTAGCAAGATTATTGACTAGAATTGTCAATTGATCGTTTATTTAATGTCAACTGTTCGATTAAGGGTCGATCAGAAGAGTTAAATTGATCAGTTTCTTCACAAATATTGTCATATGTTCGATTCTAGGATCAATATGCTTAGATTATTTAGTTCCAATTGTTCGTTTTTAGGATCAGCAAAATTAACACACGGCAGATTGATTTTAAGGTCATCATAGTTAAAGTACAATAAATAAAAATGTAAATATATTTTTTCCGTCGGCTTTTAAGCGAGCATTCTAAAGTTTGTTAACATTTTAACAGTATTGTTGTAAATCTAATTAAATATTGTTCATAAGTTATGACTTGAAAAGGAAAACTCCGCGGTAACAATAAAGTTCGTATACGAATTTTAACATGCAAATGAAGACTATATTATTAGCTCGTGTATGCGCTACGTCACAATGATAAAATCTTTTGTCACAGCAAATAGGAGATTTACTTGTGCAAACAAACTTTTACCATTTTAGTTTCACGGTGCATTAGCCCTGTCGTTCACAAAAAGTAATCATCTCATAAAAAGGTCGAAACATCCAGTATTCCTATCTTGAATACCGTTGAATCAACCTTTGGATATGTTGCCTGCTTTTTGACCTGGTCTTTTGACAGCTTATATGCATGTGATATGCTACATTACCTCTGATCCCCTTACATTTCCATTTTATTTAGTGTCGCCCATTGTTTTGAACACATCTGCGGATGTTTCAAAAATTCAGAATTTTACCAGTACATGTCTAATGTTGAATTCTGTTTAAGCCGGCACTAGGGGACGTGAACGGTAACTTGCGCTTTCAAGTACCGTTCATGAACAGCCATAATAAAACCGAGCCTGTAACATTTTCAATTTTGCCGTGTTTAGCTTTCTTGTGGAATTCTGTTTTTATCTATTTCATTCATCTAAAAGTTAATAATTACATTTTGTAAATTTTGAATTTTTCTTCAATTTATGAACAATATCCGGTGATTTCCTTCTACAATTATAGCGAAAATATGATACATGTATATAGGCATGTGTTTAAGGCTATTAAAGGATCTCCACTGAGGTCCAGAGTTCTACAAACAATGATTTATATTCGTCATTGTGTCATTTTCGAAATAATAATAATAATAATAATAATAATAATAAAGATTATTCTGGAAAAAAGACGGAGGGAATTACCTCTGTAAACATTTTCACATAAGCAATTAGTGAAGACCTTCATCAATTAGTACAGAAATCTCGGAAAATATTTTCAGTCTAAAAACCTCAGTGTTTTAAGGGGTCTTCATCTCAATCATTTTACTGTAATTTTTCAAAAACAGAACAGCTTTTTGATGTTACCGAGTTGTATATTTCTATTGTTCACCATTTCTAAATGTGTAAATTTAAAATAGTGATAATTTTAAATATTTGAATTCTTATTGAACATTCAAATGATTAGTTCTTGGGACTTCTATTCTAAGAAATAAATGTCAAACTTGAGAAAATGCATGTTATTTATGTTTTACTATCATATGCTTTAAATCAAGACTATTATATTGTCACACCTTTACATCTACATTGTAATTAAGTTTTTCTCTAAGAGATAAAGTTTTTTAAACCGGATTACTTGTTGATGTAACATGTAATCTGCTAATAAAACTACAAGTATCCGTTACTTTAAATGTGTAACTTTTGTTTTCTACTTTTTTTTGTATAGGGATACAAAACACATGATCTTTTATGTTGCTTAAATCTTACTCCCCATTCTGGTTATGGAATCTTCTATGTTGTGCAATATCACTTAAATTGAATATGACTTAAATTGATATATAACTTTTAGTACGTCAGGTTTGAGACCTACATGGCAGAGTGGTTAGGGTCAGCGTCTTCAAATCACTTGTTACTTACCGCTGTGGTTTCGTATCTCTGACTGAACCGTAAAGATCTGATGGAAGGTCGGTGGTTCTATCAGGTGCATGCTCATGCCTGATATAATGTACTAAGATGCACCTTAGAAAAAATTCCTAACGAATATTTTGTTGAATTACATATAAAACACAGATCGGACCATTTATTCGTAGCATGAAAAACAATACAATATAGACTGTGAAATTAATTCAACTTTATCCTGACAATTGAAATTGCAAAACCTAGACATAATCGAATGTATATTGTTAGAAGAATATGAAAACCACGAACTCTTGTTCGTACCCTGGCGTCGACTTAAGCAGGATCGGCTCTTAAACACTTAACAGTAATTTAATCAGACATGATGAAATATTGAATTTTTTGATAACTCCAAGACGATTTACATGCCGACCTTTCAGTCACCACACTTAAAAGTAAAACGTACAGTCCACTTAGCATCGTTTGAACAATACTTGCGTTAGATATTTCTTTGTATGAAATGTTTACAATATGCGTGCGTATACAAATAGCATCATGTAAAAATCTTTTCTATTTATAAAGAGAGATAAAAACATGGTGGTAGAGCCAGAATTATTCATTAAGCAGTGAATTAAGTGAATATAGTAAATAACACTTAAATGTTTTTCTATTAAGCACCTTAAATTCAATCTATTTTCTTTGTGACAAATATTCCTCAAAATAACGTTACTCAAAATAATAATTCCTTGTCATAATGATGATGATATTTACACATTTTAAAAAAAAAACGTTTCTTTTTTTACTGTATACTTGAATGCAAGTATTTTTTTCTGAAAAACTTACATGGATAATAAAATGAAATATAAGATATCTGAACTTTTAAAACTACACAAATTAGACAAAGCACGTGATTATCTTCCGTTTATTATATTTATCTTATATAACAATCAACGAGGAAACATGCATTACCTTATTGTACAAAATTTTATTGTTATACGAACATATGTTATATTTTTTTAATTTACTGCCGAGATTGCAAATAGGCGATACTTTATGTTAAAACCTTTCTACAACTTGAATACGATGGAGAGAAAAATGATATTTTGTGCATTCTTAAATTAATTTTACGAACAAATTTTTCCCGAACAAATCTTGTTTGTTAGGCATATCTTTGAGAATTTATTTATAGTCAATGACTTAAGCATGCATATATCAAGTTTTAAAGAATCATACAGCAAGAAAGTTTAAACGTAATATTCAAAAAATGCATTTGTTTTGGCCTTTGCATTACAAGAAAAAAGTTATTAAGTGGAATGTGGATTTATCTTACACCTGTACGACCGATTTAATAGTTATAGTAGTGCTGCCACGGCTTTTAATCCCATGATGTATGTATATGAGAAACACAATACCTGCAAGTCAAAAACATTTTTGAGAGAGTAATGACAAATGTTAAGTGATTTTCATTCAGAATGATCTATATAAAATAGGAAGTATACAAAATGCACCTGTTTTTTCTATGCTTACTAATTCATCAATTATAGTACTATTGAAAAAGGAAACGTTTGCTTACAGAAATGTATTTTTTTGTTTCCCAGCATCTTTTATATTTAAAGAAAAAAATATAATCCCGAAAGCGACAAACATTTTAAGATATAACTGAAAAATGTAGCTTTTATATGTCTTGTTTCAAGACAGTCAATAGCCATTCAGTTGTTATGTAAATAATAATCTTAATCAAACTTTCAACAAACTAATATTTAGTGAATATTATTAAAATGCCAATAAAATATTTAAAAAAATGATATGAAGCTTTTGATATTGTTAACATGAACCAATGTTTTGTGGTTTTGTGCTTTTGCGACATTTAAGCAAGTGTAAAACATTTATGGAAAACGATTTATTTGTCAAAACTCTTTCATTTGCTTTATCAATGGATGATGTCGTTTATAAAGCTTCATTAATTTCTGCTAGTGACTAAACAAGATGGAACATACAACTTTCAATTTTTTAGATAAAATAGTATACCTTGAAAATAGGTACACACAATGAATAATATTGGTAAGGTGACAAGACGGTCATTAAACGCTTCGAAATTGTAATAAACTGCCAAAAGCAAATGTTTTAATTTTGCCGAAACATAATTTTTACTATCGTTCAGAATTTTCCGCTACTCTCTAGGACAGAGAGCAAATTCTTGTTCTAAACTTGTTCTAAAACTGTGTGATATGTGACTCAGTAACCGAAAATTATATAAACAAATGTCAAAACTATTGTAGGAAACACAGAAATGTTCGGTCGTAAGGTCAATTCTAGAAAGAAATTGTTTTGTACATTCATAGATTAAAAAAGAGCATTTGATACTATATGTAGAGCACATTTGTAGACAAAACTCTGTAGTTATGATATAAATGGAAAATTAATTTTTCAATGTTGTAAAAATAATTTTTAATAATGCTAAGACATGTGTATTTGTAAATGTGACAATTCAGATTATTTTTCATGTACAACTGGCGTTAGACAGGGAGAAAACCTGTCATCTCTATTTAATGATCTAAATGAATATTTCGAAAATGCAAAAATGTAAATGGAGTAACTTTGATTAATGTCACAGTATCCGAATCATATTTTGATTTACAAAATGCCATACACTTATATCAAACGTATTGTGATAGTTGAAAATTAACTGTTAATACATCGAAAACAAAAGTTATTGTATTTTCGAAAGGAAGACCTTTACAATGTAAGTTAGTTATAAGAATAAAAGTTTAGAAAAAGTTGATGAATTTAAATATTCAGGTGTAACATTTATCAGAAGTGGTTGTTTTTGTTAAGGTTAAAACTGATAAAGCTAATCAGGCCATTAAAGCAATGTATTGTCTTATTGAGAAGTCGAAAAAATTGCACTGACCGATAAATATCAAATAGATTTATTCGATAAATTAGTTAAGCCAATATCATACTTGTGTGTGTACTAGGGTCATGATAACAATGCCATACTAGAAAAAAGTTAACCTGAAATATATAAAACATATATTGGGTCTTAAATCAAGCACACCCAACTGTATTGTATAATAGTGAAACGGGTGTCAAGCCGTTACACAATGAGATCAATATAAGAATGATAAGCTTCTTGTCAAAACTTGTTGTACCAAAATATCTTAAACTTTGTATAATATAATGCTTTACATTTTAGTAACAGTGTTAGTGCTAACAAACAAGCATTTAAATGGGTATTACATATACGGCAAATACTTATAAACTGTGGTTTATTGAATATAAGTATGGAATACCCACGAATTTCCTAATCACAAATGGTTAGTTGCTTGTTTTAAACAAAAATTGCCTGACTTATATTTGAATGAGTGGTATTCTATTCTTAGTAATTCTAGTAATTGTAAAAACTACTGATTATTGAAGGAAACGTTCAAATTCGAACCATACTTAGTAAATATACCTCATATCCTGCTTCAAGATATGTTATTAAATTTCGAACCCGTAATGTTAGACTCGAAGCTAGAATTGAACATAACTTTACCAACGAAAGCGTACACTTTGTAACTGTATCGATAGCATTGGTGATGACTTTTCTGAACTAAGAAAAATGCATTCAGACCACAAATATATAGGAAAACCTTATATTATGGTATTTAAATCTGTAACGAATACAGATACAAATCATTATAATAAATACAAGCACTTTTGTATATTTATTAAGGAAATTATTATAAAATTTGATATTAGATAATGTTGCTATCTGATGTACGTCTCAGAATTAATACAACAATGTGTGGCTTGTTATAAAAAATATGTCGAATATTTAACGCTTTTACAACAATTGTTTAAATAACAAAAGTTTATATCATGTTATCTGAGTTTATGACAAAGCTTTGTTACATCATTCTTATTCAATATAAAACATACTGAATACAAAATGTCTCTCACTCGTATGAAAATAAGAGAATTATGTAAATGCGTGTTATATATGCCTCTATAGTTTATTATGTAAATGTGTTATAGCTCATATTGTCATGTTAGTCATGAACTGAGTACTAAGTAAACTTGTAAACTTCTTGTCTAAAATACACTTGTGCATTGGTTTTAGTGAAAACTTGTGTGAGGCATAAATAATAAATAACATATAATTAGTTATAGATAATAAGTTCAATGTAATCACTTATAACAGATTAATACTATAACACATATATTGTTTCATTAAAACATTTGTGATTTGTTTAGACCAAACTTAAAGAAACAAGCAATGAGAAAAAGGTAATCTCAATAACTTAACAGTCAAACTTATTCATGTAAGATGCTGTATGAAAACGTGTTTTCAAATGATTGAAGAAAGTTTGCCTCAAAAGCAATAATAATTGCGCGATGAAATATTTGCGAATAATTTCATTTCGCAAAAATCGCAAATATTTCCACGTCGCAAAATTAAGCGCTTATACAGTAAAAAATGCCCTTTAAGGGCACAGCTATTTAATGAATTATTCGGTATGAGAAACAATGTGATTCTATTTTATTTGGAAACACTCTATTTACATGTTTTTATACATATATACAATTACAATTTGTTCAGAAAGCAACAAACTTTTTCTGATTAAAAAAAAAGGCGTGGTATAGGATAACATTATCGAAATTAAATGCCGGATAGTTTTAGTTATACAGTTATATTATTTTGTAAATTTTATATTCCTTCATTTAATAATATCAATTCAGTTCATAACAAAACATCAAAATTTGCATTACATAATGTCAGATGAAATTTCGCTGTCTTTTAGATGTTTTGTCAAACTAAGTTAAACTGTTTGTAAAATATATCAAAAACAAACTCAACCGCAATCATGAAAATGAAATCCTAAAACTTTTCTTTATTGTTTTTCTGCCTTTTCATTTTCTTTCAGATTAAAACTTGGACACATTTTATATAATAACCTGTAGCTTTTATACTAATCTACAAGACTCATGTTTTGTATTATGTTATTAAAACTTCAGATCTAACTTCAGAATAAAATGTAAAACACTGTCAATAACACTATAGACCCTTCTCAAATTATATGCATACCTGGAATTCCAGAACCAGAACGAGGTTTAAATGGCACGAATGTAAACACACTGACCAGTCTTATCTCACTATATAGCCACGATGTCGGGTGTTAATAAAGAAAAGTTCAATTAACATTTATGTGTGCCTATGTGCTATTCTGATGGTAAATATGATTTACCATATTCCAAAGGATAAAGATTAAAAAAAACAATGACAAATTATGGATGACTAACTTTCTAAGATAAGAAGGGATAAAGGGTCATTGTTAAAAGTAATTGAAGCACCTAAAATAATATTTTGTAAACTTTGACCAATATATGAACAGAATAATATTTTTGTAAAAATACAGGTTTTGTAAATTTAGAATAAAACAATGGGAGAACTGCTTGCTTTTAATCTAACAGTTATAACAATTAAAACTTGTTAATTGTAAATTGTAAATTATTGTCTGTTCAAATATATGTTACAAATAGAGGATTGAAGCTGACTAATAGTTACCATATCTTATTATAAATATATGTTGTATATTTTAGGGTCACTGCATCTACTGTGGTGTGTTCCAAACATTTTAAACTGAGGATTACTTTTGGACTCCACTTAAAAAATGGTTCTATTCCATCAGTGTTAATTGGGTTGAACAAACAACTCTAATTAACAAGGCTACTTATAAGAAAAATTCTTTCACCAAAGAAAATGCTCATTGATAGGTAAATTTTATGATAAAGTCACTGATTTAACTCCCATATTTATCATTTCATTTAAATAGATATAATATAATGCTTATTTATGTTAAATAAATGTATTTGCTTATAGAAAAAAATCATTTAAATTCTCACTGATATTGAATAAATAATATGTTTTGGTATAATATACATGTATATCTTTCAGCATTGTCCACAATGAAGATGAAGAAGATAATGCAACAAGTACCAATTGCCAACCATCAACATCTTATGTGTTTACAGAAACACAGGAAGAAAATGATATTTAAAGGCTTCATGAGGCTTGAACTGGAGGAGACCAAAAAAAGTAAAGACCCTGCAACTCAGCTGAGTTTGTATTGAAATAACAAAGGAACATGCACACGTTTGCATTTGTGTCATTGTTACATGGATGCATGTCAGATGTTGAGATCTCCTTGAACTTTTTGAAACTGGTGATGATGTGATGGGTGATAAAGGGTTTACATTAAGGAAGATACTTCAAGACAGGGATCCAAGTGTCATTGAATATTTCAGAATTTGTATAAAAGACAAATTTACACTAGAAAACAAGAGAGAGACTGATCAGCAAGAAGCAAAAACCAAAAGAATTAAAGAGAATCATCTGTTTCATTTCTGTCAACCATGGATGGACAGTAGCTAGTATGTATACTACCTAATTTTAATGAGACCATAGTGCAATCATGGGCAAAATGTAATAGTCTGTCTTAATTTATATATTGTTTTTATATGTATATAAGTTGGTATTTCAATAAAAAAAAGCATAATGAAAAACAATATCATATCAGGAAGTATTAAAGTTTAGTCTTTATCAAAATTTTGAAATAAATAAGAACATTCATTCTTTCTCTGTTTTTTTTTATGGCATTTCCCTTAATTATATTGCGCAACCAGTATCTGCTGGTAGTACAGGAAGTACAATTTAAAATTCAAAAAGTACATGTATACATAGAGTTTGGTTAGGTATTAGTTTATTTCAGATACTATGGTAAACGGTCTTTTACAATACATGTTTCATATAATACACCTAATACACATCTGATTAAGATTTTCCACAGGTCATTAGGGGCTTATTTGTAAGATTCAATTTGCAATTACCTTTATGTTGGCATCAAGAATCCGTAAATAACAGAACAACTAAGATTATATAAAACAAGACACCACAGATTTATATCTTATTATCAGATTTATATTGTGTTAGGAAATATGTTTATGACAGCAAAATTGAAACCGAAATTAAAAAAATCTCTTCTCAAACCATTAATGGATAACTCACAAATATAATTGAATTCTTTATAGAAGAGAACATAATATATTAATAAATAACTCTATAAATGAGAAATTAATGTTAGGAACCAAAGATAAGTCAATATTTCATTGTATCCACAGCTTATACTGGCTTATCAGCTTGCCAGTTACGCCTCGTTCTGGTTCATGTTCTAAAAATAGCTGTAGAATATTAAGAATGGTCTAATACACTATATAAAATTTACTTATAAAATCGTGACTTTGTATCAATTCTGTTACATATTCGATTTTACTGTACTAAGTAATCTGAAATGTTTCCATCGAGAAGAGCACCGCCATTATGTTGTACCATCCAGCACCGGACAGTGGCATTGCTGGCAGGATTGAGTCGAGAGCCTAAAGTTGCCATAAGTCTCCGGGGCTTCTGTGTGTTCCCACTTACTCTCAACTGACCCATTAATTTTCCTTGATGACTTTTCGTTTTCTTCAACACGACTTTCCTATGTAAGAACTGACCTAAAATCATAACACATCAGTTTAAATATCAACTTATTTTGAACACTTTAATGTTAACTATTAATTTCAATATAACAGATAGTTTGCTATAAAATGAAAAGAGCTTTGATACCTAGAATTCCATGCGTGTGGTAAGATAGGCCTTGATGCTCGACTATATATATGCCTAGAAAGTTGACTTTTCCCGCCCGGAGCAATGACCTTGACTTCAGATGTCTCATTATAACAATGGTTATCCTGTCCTCAAACTTTACCATCAATTCCGAGCCATCTTTGTTAAAAACTATTATGGCCGTTCCAAGATTTAAGAACGTTCCTGAAAATAAATAACAGTTGTTAGTTGAATAATGCAAAACAAGAGAAAATTAGAAAAATCATAGACTGGAGCGGATGGTATCTTTACATTATGAAAGAAATTGACAATTATAATGATTGTAAACTATTGTTTTTCAAACATGAAAGCTCAAAGTGTGAATTAATATTTAAAAACATTGTTATAATTCGATGATAATTTTTTATCTTATTTTCGATCTTTTAGAAATAATTTCAAATATAATGTAAATCATCAATAAAACAATATGCTGTTGATGACATTTAACTGCCTTTCCGACCTGTATGCAGGTTCTTTTGCTCACACACACGCACACGCACACGTACATACGTACATACGTACATGCACGCACGCACAACGCACACGTACATGCGTATATACATACGTACGCACACGCACACGCACACGCACACACACACACACACACACACACACACATTTAACAATTCTTCAATTGCATTGAAGCATTTTTTACCATTCATCCAGTGTACTGTTTCTCCCGTAAATGTGATATTTGTTGGTGTAACGAGAAGTTCAGATCGCCATCTTTTAATTGTTATCTCGCCAAGGTAAGTCTTTATGTCACCAGACTTAAACTCATACTTTGTCGTCGTTTTAATCATTTTGTTGGCAACTACCTTTGCATCTATTGCTAAACCTTTAAAGTAAGAATACTGTATATGCTAAATAGAAATTTTAACAAATTAAGGAACATGTTCACACGAATTAGAACAAATATACAGCATGAAAAAATACTAAAATCAATAAGAACTCATAAAACCCGCATTAAACGCTTAAGCGGATACAAATATGAAATGTTACTATGTGTACATGAGTAAATAAGAAACTTTCAACTTCATTTCAAAATGTTTTAATTAATTTTTTAATGCGTTGACTATTGTTTGTACTTTCTTTAGAAAAATAAAATCTTCTATTTATATAATAACAATAAACTAACATTCCCAAGCAATGTAAAACACTTACCACTATATTTGTCATTAACAAGTGTATAGACGTCACCTTCATTTCCCATGACGTCAAAACAAACTGCATTATCAAGACCTTTTATGTTAATTATAAAATGAGGATCGTTGTCAGCCGACATTTTTGGATTATCTGCAACATGTAAATGAATTAATTAATTCTAGTTCAGATTTTATTCACAGGACATTATGTTCAATTCAGTGTTCTTGAAAATTTATATGAGAAACTTGGTGCAAAATAATCAATTGTATCTTACTTTTGATCACCCCAAATGGCCCTCGCAATCTTAAAGCAGATCTATCCGGTTTAAGGTCTTCAACATCTTCTGAAACAAAAATGTATAAATACCTTATATCTTTGATATAATAGATATGAAATTAATAATTTTAACACGTTTATTTTGTTCATGAATACCATAGAATATTACAGTATACTATCTATCTACTATTTATGCTGTATATAGTGTCTGATTTAGGTTAAGATTTATAGTAACTCAGTAATGGATAACTGCTTAAATGAGAATATAATGGATAATGTGTAATCACTAAATTGGATATTTCGAATATAATGATAAACTAAAACGAACATTTCATCCAGACATTTATATAAAGATCAGAAGTTGCTCACGTGGTGGTTCTGTTGGTATTGGTTCCACTTCAGGTTTCGTCACAACCATCGAAGTCAACGGTGTTACAAAGCCATACTGAAAATTAGCATGCTTAAGTACAATAAAAAGTTTCATATACTACCTCTGACACAGGTATATAAAAATGAAGCAATGTTTACACTTGAAAATGGTCATTATAAACATTAAATTTAAATTCACGATTTCGTCATTTTTAGCTAGGCTGAACAATGGTCAGGGTGAGCTCTTGTGACCGCTTGATGTGTATAATACGAACGTACGTCCCTCAACAATTTTATGTTTGCATACTAACAGTTTCATGTTAATGTGATAGCATAACATGTATCATTCTTCTCTTGAATCGGTCTGATTCCATCTTGCTTTCCTTGAAGGCTAAACTGAATAAAATGACCCCATCTGTGAGACGAAACTTGCATAATATTTGTATTATAGGTAGATCTTGTTTTCTATATTGAAAGGACCATATCACCAAAATGGTACAAAATAGGGATATAGTGTCGGGTCTGTATGATAATGGCTATATTTTGTTTTCATTTTATTCAACAAAAATACACAAAACAATGATTCCGATTTTAATTAACCTGCAAACTGGCCAGCACTTTCTAGTATTATTTCATACAGTTGATTCATAAGTTGAAAACAAAACAGCGCACAGGAATATGTAGGAAACTACATGGAAGAAAGATCTGACCTTGATATTTTGTATAAACATATTTCATTTCTTAGAATGTGGAAACATGTTACAGTTTACAATACATTTGTATATACAAAAAAAAACAAAAAAAAAAAAACAAACAAACAAAGATAAAAAACACAAAATTTTAAATATTCTTAGAAATTATGGTTTGAATAGAAGACAAAGTATCTTATAAAATACTTCTCCTTACCTTGACATTTATAGATCTTAAATGGCAAAGTTAATAATAAATTCAAATGGTGGGCATACAATAAAATAACTCACCTTTAATAAATTATTGGATGATGGGAGACTTTATTAAAATCGACAAGCTTTATACAGTGTAGTGTGTTATTTCTGTATTTCGTTTTGATCATATGCTTTTTACAAGGAGGATACTATATATAGACCGTTAGCAAAAATTCGAGATATATCTTTTATACAACCTTTATGATTCCCCAAGTGTATTTATATCGCACTTATAAGCGAATCATATTATTTGAGAAACTTTGTAAGATAATTGTATCAAATGTCAAAATCTCAATAAAGGAAAGGAACTCGTTACTTTTATAATTGTGATCAAGATTCTGTATTAACCATTATATATCTATAATGTTAACAAGAAGTATCTTTAAAAGAAATATACTCGGCCGAAGTAAAACTGGTTAACTTACATATATTAGTTCTTAGTTTTCCATGCCAAATTAAACAGAAATGTAAGCATAGCAGGGTAATTAATCTTGAAAATGGAACATTTTGAGATGTATGTGTTTCTAAACAAACCTGCCGTGAATTTCTAACACCAATATTTACGCAGTCGGTAGGCAATTATTTTCATAAAATACTTGATTAATATGCAAAAATATATGAAAATCATAAATATTATATCAATTGAACACATCAATAACCATATAATATATTAGACACTTATTGAACATCAAAAACTAAGGGTACATGATAAGTTTTGATATTATTCTCATTATTTTGGACAAATTTAAAACTCAGAGCTTGTGTAAAATGAACTCAGTAAGTTCTTACTTAAAATAAACTTTTCACTGGAAAATATAATGAGATTTGAATGGAAGAAGTATGATTAAACATAACTTAAATATTTGAGCAATTTAACTAGTAGTTAAAGAACTATCCTTTACATTTTAGTTAAGAACTATCTAAGAATGATGGGAACTTTATCCTTTACGTTTTATTTTAGAATTGCCAATGAGATTCCCATATATGATTTTAGTAATTTTGAAATGACCAATTACAACTCGTCTTATATACAGTTCTTTCCTGTAAATTTTACAGGAAGTCAAATTGATTTCAAACCGGCCTTGGCCAGAAATAAACAATCGGGGGCAAATTACGTAAACAAGTGAATGTGTACCTGTAAAGACAAGTCTTTCGCCCTATTTTGTAAAGCTTCCTTTACTGTATCGTCGATTTCTCCATCAGCCCTATAAAGTAATTGCTTTATTGTAAGATACGCCCATGTTTTCTCCGTTATTTCTTGGAAATCGGTGAGTTCCATCAGGCTTTCAGTTTCAGAGACATCTATGTAGTTGGAGTCTTTATCAACTTGAAAAATACATGCATATATAGATATCATTTATTAATGATAGTCCATAAAAGTAATTATGGTGGCATATTTCTGGCACCAGATAACCATATAACTAACTACTTAATTAAGAGGTTAACTAGTGACGTAACTAGTTAACCTCTTAATTAACTAGTTAGTTACCAGGTTAACTAGTTACGTAACTAGTTAACCTCTTAATTAACTAGTTAGTTATCAGGTTATCTGGTGGCAGAAATATGCCACCATAGGTAATGGAATTGTTGAATTTCTTATCTTAACAATAAGTTTGTATGCACACAAAATATTTTTTACATATAATAAAAACATATAATTCTAACTTCATATAAGTAATAAAAATAAAATTTATTTGAGCCACGTCACGACAAAACCAACATAATTGGTTTGCGACCAGCATGGATCCAGACCAGCCTGCGCGTCCGCGCAGTCTGATCAGGATCCATGCTGTTCGCTTGCCAACTCTATTACAAGTAGAGAAACTGATAGCGAACAGCATGGATCCTGATCAGACTGCGCGGATGCGCAGGATGGTCTGGATCCATGCTGGTCGCAAACCCATTATGTTGGTTTTGTCGTGACGCGGCTCATTTATATGTTATAACAGACGTAAGAGGATTTTCTTCTTGTAATAAACATTTTTAGCATGTTGCCTACCTTAACAATCACATGCTTACAATACTTTATCAAAATACATGGTACACTTAACAAAAGTGTTAACTCACCATTTAAAACCAAAGTTCCGTCGAGACTGTTGCTTAGGATTTGCAGGTCAAAAGTTGGAGCCCCTGGATCAGTCAACTTACCAGCAACGACAAGTTCGGACCCTTCGAAATAATTTTTAAACTCCGACTTGGTCAGACTCGAAGGGTCCACAGTGTCACCGATATATTTAACTGTCACGTTGTTAAGTAACGTTACAGCAATCTCATCGTAGAATCCACTTATCTAAAATAAATTTAAATTATATTTTGTTGATTAAAATATTAAATCCATCTCTACCTCGAGATAACAATGTTTTTATCTAGTAATCAGAACATACTGAATTTTCTGTCGTCAAATACATGGAAATATCCTTGCATAAACATGTAATCTTGGGTATGTAGAATATATGCTAAAATTAAACTTACTCACCTGCAAATCTGAGTCAGAGTCCTCGTATATCTTTCTGGCAATACCGTCATTCCGAATGGACATACTTTTCATTAGATTCCAATCAGCATCTTTGCCAAATGCTAGACTAAATATCGGTACCTCTCCTTTAAAAAGATAAACACTTAACTCAACCTGATATTTTAAGAATAAACGTTTATTTTGCAAACAAACAGATGTATGATATAGACGATAACTCAATCTAACGAGTTTCAAATGAATGATAATTATGTGTCATTAGAAATTTAACCATACAATACGAGAATATATTAAACACGGATTAAGAAATCATATTGAACGAGCGGCAAGGCAATTTTATATGGATTCTCAAGCTGTGTACGAGTCTGAACATATTCCCTTATGTACTTGTAATGTTTGACTATATCAAATTATATTGAAAAAGGCAAAATGTGATCTTATTTTATTATTATCTGACGAATCATGACGCTTCTAACGCTCTTAGTAAAAATCATTCGGATACTTTGGGCGTTAATGGCTTTTATCATTAACGTAACATTAAAAGGTCATTCACAATCCTCTATCCAATATTGGACGATACAATATTGGAATAAATTACACGGTCACATGGTACAATTTAAAAGCAGCGATTGGACTTAATAAATGATAGAGAATAATATAATTAACCATATTGAATAAATGACCTCCATTAGAGACAATGTAAGATGTGACCTCTATCATGACCCCATAGACCCGACTTTAGATGTATTCGATATGAGTATGTAACAATTTTGCCAACATAGTTTTTCACAATTCTTCACGATATAGGCACATACTGTAGTAATGCTATTGAAGTAAACACCAACAACAAAATATATGTTTTAACTTATTTATATACCAAAAATAATGCCTACACATTATAATTTTTACTATTGGTAAAAGGAAGGTCTATATAAATTTATAAATGTAACCATGATAAATGCAATGTATTTATGCTTAAAATAATATATCCCCAACAGTGATTTTATCGCTTAATCAAATCAATTTTTTGTGTTCGCAATTTCATCACGAGGGCGCATCAGAATGCCAGTGATTTCATTAAAATAAGCAAAAAAAATCACTGCTTGGGATATATATTTTCGATTCTAACAAGACATTCATAAATGAATGCTGCCGTACATGATATCTAGATAAATCGATCGTACCTGATTTGTTTCCATACTTTATCCTCCATTATAAGCGCGTCGCATTTTTAAGGAATACTTTGACTATGGCAAAAAGTAATGCCTGATTCTATAACTTTTACCATGGCAAAAATTAATGTCAATATAAATTATGATAATTTTACACTTTGCCAAATATATTGGAGATAAATAGATCTTTAGCAATGATTTGATTGCATATTTTCAAACATTTTGGTCCTTCTATGTACAATAGAGAAATATGTGGGTCGTGTTAGAATATGACTTTTACCATTGTAAAAACGAATGTCTTTATTTTATAATTTTTACAATTGTAAAAAAAGTAAAGGCTTTATCTTAAAGATTTGACCGTAGCAAAAAGTTATTCCTCTTTTTTATAACTTTTTCAGTGGCAAAAAATAATGTATTTTTTAATTTGTTTTATAACCATTACCTCGGCAAAGGGAAATGTTTATATATTGTATATTTAACCATCATGGTAGAAAAGAAATCCTTTTATATTATAACTTTTATCATGGCAAAAACTGATGATTTTGTTTTAAATGACTTCTACGGGTAATAACTGATCAAGGGCTACAATCATTTAATAATACACATACCTTCATTGCCAACATCGATGTTTCTCAATATTGAATTTGGATTTGTTTCTCTGCCTGTTGTTGGTCGCCCGTCTGTTAGAAACACTATAACTGGGGATCGTTCGTCTTCTTGCCGTGAGTTACGGAGTAGCTCCAGACCTTTCAGTACAGCTTCATTAATGTTTGTCGCTATTATGAAAGATATCACAGGCCAAAAAATGAATAAACGTTTTCTTGATTTTATCTGTTTTTATTCCGTAAAATGTTAAGAAATGCCATGATTATTGACCTGTTTCACTGTAAAATTGTTCTAGCGAATCAAGCTTACATTTATATGATTGTGCACGCATTTCAAATAAATAAAAGAAAAATGTAAATACATCATGAACAAATCGCAATGTAATTCAAATTCAAGGCTCCGGGCTTACACGCTTATAAAGAATACACTTGAGACAATTTAGGATCAGAATCGTTTCCCTGATCTCATTATTATCAAGAAAATATATTAGAGCTGCCAAACAAATACTTTTTCCTCCTGTATATGAAAATCTACAGCTTTGAAACATGACACTTTATTTGTAGGAAATAAATTGGGTACGGGACTGCCATAATGACTCTCTGAATTAACGACTCCCTGTCATATGCAACGCTATTTTATGTGCCTGGCGCAATTTACTATAAATGTAGTCTGAATTAAGCGACTCCCTGTCTGACAAGCGACTGTGAAATCCGACTCCAAATTCGCCATTTAGACTGTTCCCCGCCCCCCCCCCCCCCGGTGCCCTGAATTTTAGGTAACGTTCGGTTTCCAATCGAAACTACTCGGCCCTTTCCGTCAGTCTTCGGATAAGGACCTCGAACACAATAGTATGAATACACAGAACGGATGCGGTATTTCGGCCAAACCTACGCTAAGAAACTAAACATGTAAACAAATAGTAATTTAATGCTAGGAGTTGTTGGCAAGTTTATTTCCAATATATGTAGTAAATGTCCACCTAAAATAAGTGAATTCATAGGTACAAAAGCAAACAATACATTATTTATATATTTATTATTATGTCTGTATAAACCGAAAGTACAAAAAACCAACCTGTTGACATTTAGTCGGATTTGTTTAAAATTAAACATCAGTGGGCATATTTAAATTACAAATTGTTGTCAGACATATTTTCAAGCATAAGAGTACCGGAACAGCCATTAGAAATCAAATATATACATTCGTTTTTGTATACATTGCTTGCAATGTATACAAAGTTATAAGCTATATCTCAGAAATAGATACAGGTTTATGTTTTACCGAACAACAGAAACTAGTTCTTCATTCTGCAGTATTTCGACTACACATCATTAAAATAGTGTTTGCAAAGTTGTTTAAATGCTTTGAAAGTTCCAAATCGTTCATTTTCATGAAGTAATAGACTCTACATTCCTTTAAAGAAAACAAAAATTAACAGTTCATTGATAAAATCGTAGTTTATACCTACGCGTTAAACTTCGCATATACGCATGCGCTTGCTAGCATGAATGAATACATCGTAAATATAGTAAAGTCAGAGTAAAATCGATACCGCTTATGCTAAAACAATACAAAATAAGCTTTTTTTAAACCGCTAGTTTGTTGTGATTAAATGTCCGATTTTAAAATGTATTACACCAATAGAAAGCTTTGGATCTTAGCTTCATCACAATATAAACTTCAATACATCTTTTGACTCCAAAGTATTTAAATTAACTGTTAAACCTACCATATGTCAGACCATTTTACATGCGATTTATACAGTGAGATTCGCAATGATAAGAATAGCCTGTCGTCTGCTAGATCTGAAAGAGTATATCGGTGTATTATATAAATGGGACGAAACATCTCAGATAGATATTAAATCAAATAAAATTCCTGATTTACATTTATGCAATAAAATTGCCCTAAAATGTTTTACAAAATGGGTATGGAGCTCCGTCACAAAATTTACCAGCGTATACCGGAAAATGTTTTTTTTTTTTTTTTTTTTTTTTTTTTTAAAAAACTGGCAATTATCGTGACTTCGAAAAATAGAAATTTCGTAAGCTATTCTTTTGAATACCTTTTTTACACATGATTTTCCTTTCACTTTTGTATGCCTTAGATTTTTGAAAAGAAATATGTTTCGAAATTCAGCGAAGATTGCCTGATTCAGTACGGATAAAAATAAAGATTCGGCCGCTCGACCTTTCGACCCATTACAATTCATCGAACTTGGGATATTGACGATTAAGCCAGAGTATGGAGCTAAATATAGGCATATGTGGCAAGATTCGACGAGAAGAAATAATCATTTGAAACTGTAAATCAGTGTAAGCATTAAGAAATAAATACATTATGTTATTTTAATCTGCTTATATTAATTGCCGAAAAACACCAATCAAATACCGAAAAACACTTAAAATACAAAGAAATATTAATTCAGCAATATAAACAATTTTTGATGGTTATTTGATGAAATTGGTTTTTGTCGGTTATTTGATGAAATGGGTTCAATAATATCAGTTTTAAATCGATGATATATACAATTGGTATAATTCCAACAAAATAAGTTTTATCTACTTTTTTCTATCCTTTAAATGATTAAAATTTACTTTCTTTTTGCAACCAGTGTAAATTAGAGAATGATTCTATTCTGTATTAAATGCGATATGAAAGTGTTTTTCGGCAAAGTAACAGTCTAGCGTCAAAAAAACATGGAAAAGCCGGAAAACTCATTTTTACGGGCATTAAAATAGTCGTAGTTAAAACAAGAGCCGCTATTATTTTTCAACCTTTTAAATGAATAACTATTACTTTCTTTTGTTACTAAAGTAAAATGTCAGTGATGTTATTTTTATAAATACAGCATGAAAGTGTTTTTCGGCTACGTAACGGTCTAGCGTCAAAAAAATGGAAAAGCCCAAAATAAAAAAAAAACACACACATTTTTACTTGCGATGAAATGGACATTTCAAAAATAAGAACTATTAAATAAAATTTTCAACCGTCTAATTGAATGATTATAACATTTTATTTAATTTTTCCCATGAAATATGGTGATTTATTATATACTTATAAATGAAATATTGAGAAATATTGCTGAAATAAAATGCGTATTTTCATTTTCCGTATTTTCACTGTAAAAATTTATTTTTCACTGCAGTGAAACATATTTTCCGTATTTTCACTGGTGTCTTGCCGGACTACTTTCTTTTAAATTCTGCTAGTACCCAAAATTTAAGGGAAAGTTTTTCAAATTTAAATGTCAAAAAAGAGAAAAGTGTATATAATAAACAGAAAATTCAAGTTTTTTCTATAAATACATGATTTATTTTCATATTGTGGCATGAAAATTACCATATTTCACTCGTGGCTACCGCCACTCATGAAATATTTATTTTCATACCACTCTATGAAAATAAATCATGTCTTTATAGAAAAAACTTGAATATCCTCTATATATCAGTCAAATATATTTCATATTTTTTAAAAATAAATATGAAATATAAATATGAAAGTGGGCGGAGTCAAAACTTATATTTATTTTAAGGGACTTCTTTCGCCGTTTTGTTTGAAAAATCTGATAAATACAAAACAACTTTTTCTTGAATTTTGTTTTGAAAACTATCTAGCATGATAGAAAATGGTCTAACTAAGAAAATTAATCCGAACACCAATATCTTTAATTCAGTTATTAACGCTGAACAGACGTTTAAAGAGTTGTTTACATGACGTCACAATGTAGCGCCAAACAGCGCGTGCTTACGCATAAATTACTGCGCGCTGTACAATTGCAGTTTGTAGCAAGCAAGGGGATTCGTTACCATTTCTTTGATAATGAAATTAAATAAAAAGGTTATTTTTTCGTTTTTCGTGAAATATGGTATATATTTTCACTCAACATGATAAAATGCCACATATTTTCACTCGCCGTACCGGCTCGTGAAAATATGTGGCATTTTATCATGTTTCGTGAAAATATATTCCATATTTCACGCAAACGAAAAAATATCCTCTTAATATGTGTAAGCAATGTAAAATATCAGTAATATTTTTGTAATAAACATTGTATGAAATTGTTTATCGGCTATGATACTGCCTAAGCGTCAAAAACATAGAAAAAATAAATAAACAAACAACACATTTTACTTGCAATAAAATACTAGATATATTTTTTAAAACATGCTGCTAAATACATTTTTCAACCGTTTAAATGAATAACTATGACATAGAATTTATTACCTTTGTAAAATGTCAGTTATTATTTTTTGTAATAAGTACAGTATGAAAAAGTCAGTGGTGAAACTTATATGTTGGCTCAGGGTGAGGTTAGCCTGGGTTCCAGTCTGTCGATTTTTTGTTATGTTTCTGTTTGGCAAAATCGACACTATCAAAACGACGAACGAATACGGAATATTAAGCGCATATGTTATGAACAAAAAAAATGTTATGAATAAGCAAAAACTATCAACGCCTGAATCCCAGACTGGGTGAGGTTTTAGATTGTTGAATGTCGGCCATCCATCTTATGTCAACTCTGGTCTGTCCACATTTAGCATCGTCGGATACCCACGGCCGAACCATTTACATTTATCAGTTATGTCATGTTAAATGTTAATCAACCATGTGTATCCGACGCTGACATTACAGTTGTTAACAATCTGCTGGTCATTTAGTTTGTTAACACTCTACTGGTCACACTTTTGTCCCAATTGTCACACAACATCGTAAGAATGTGTGTGACAGGTTTTGCTCGAGTTTGAACATGGATCACCTTGGTTGAAAATCAAAAGTATGTCACAGTAGCCAAAAAATAGAAAAAATGTTTTAGCTCAATGGTTCATCTAAAGTTAAGAAGTTGGTAACACAACCTGATTATGGAAAAACCCTTGTTAACTTGCTGTCCAATATAAATGGATTTCTTGGAAAGGTTGTTCATGAAGACTATATGTAACAATTATTGAATAATGAAAATATTACAATACATTTGAATTGTTGTGATTATAGATTTCATTTTTATTAATTAACGATAAAGTAATGTATTTGAAAATTAATGTGTAGAGATTAATACAACGCACCGGAATATATTTATTAATGCATCAAAGTACAGTACATAGAGGTACTATAATTTGGTAATTAAGTCGTGTAGGATGATTCAATTAATTGACTTTGTATAGAGTACAAGCCAGATCATGTATTTTATTAGATAGCATCACTGGAAACTCAATATGACTGTTTCAATATTCTATACTGCAGTCCATTTAAGGGGTGTTTCAAAAAATGATTTCTTTATTGCTCATCTATCAGCTTGCCCTAGCAATACACAGATGGAACATTACATCTTCCTTGACTCATAAATAACTTTTGAAGAAAAAAGCCTTGGTGCATGTGAATCACTTGTTAGGGACATTGATCTTGGTCAGAAGATGATCCCTATTGTTTTCGAGGTCAGTAGGTTAAAATCAACATGGCTTTGATGACAAAAATGGATTATATTATCAAGCAATGTATACTTCAGTACTTTCAGTGCTTTGATTCATTATCTCTGTTACTGTTTACATCTGAAACCACGTGGTAGAACTACTTTCAATCCGTTTTGCTTCCGAGATTATTATAGATAATAGCCGAGGCAGTTCCGAATGGTTCGTTATCTCGCAGGGCCTTTTGCTCTTTGTTGTAGTCGGTATCCGGTTAATTCTTGAAGCTGAATTACTACATTCCTTTCCCTAAAATAGTCTTAAATTTCCCGGCAAGGATTTTTTACTATAAAATCAAAAGTAAAACGAACAAAAACTTGTAAACAAATCTTTTTGTTTATAAATAGATTACGAAAGCTAATAATTCAATAACCCACTAGAGGGACACCCTGATTTTATACAATTGACGTTTACTAGCAACCTCGGTGTGATATTACAATTGTCTAAAAACAGCATTGGAACCCCACCCCTCCCCGAATATTACGACCACTTACAATGTCGCAAATGTAAACAATGTCACACAATTGGTGTTCAGACTAGAAAACAATTGATCAATTAAGTGACGTTTATAATACTTTTTTTGAGAAGTTTTGATGACTCTTCTGTTAGTGCAGAAGTATTCAATACATGTATCCTCTTTTAAGCCCATGTCCGGGAAAATTCCGAAGTGTTAGTATGACCTAGCACAACGTGCCAATTGCCAGTTAATGTGACACAGTTGGAACTGATAATATTGTACCCTCTGAATCAAACCCAGAACCGTAAATTTTCTACATTGTACAGTATATTATTTTATTATATCTTTTTTGAAATACAATTTCAGAAATAGTATATATAATCAATTATCGCTATTATAAAATGGGCCTATATATCATGTACATGTTTCATTGGAATAAGTCACTACTTAGCTATACATGAACATGTATATGTATATATATAAACCAATATCGGCTGGTTTGGGAAGGTTGTTTTAAGAGACTCCCTGTTATTCTTGATTCCCAAAGTCGGTCTCTTAAAACATTCTTGACTGTACTTTGATCATACATATATGGGGACATTGGCAAAGAATGTGTGAGTAACTTAGCAGACATACATACAGCCACCGTAAGTCATTCCTTTAGTAAACGTTTTTGCATCAAGAACCTCTCTCTGAGTTACGTCTATCATACCCGGCTTGTACGTTTTAGCACTTTGACTAAATGTTATTATATTAAATCGGTCTCCCTCCTTCAGCTCATCTAGTACAATAAACATAGCATCCTGTAAACAGAGGATTAAAAAGTTGATTAAAATGAACATGATCTGTCGGCGTTTAAAATTGTAATCGATCAACTTTTGTTACTATGACGTAAATAACACAGCCAATTCAGTCAAGTTCTATGACGAAAAAACATATAGCACAGTGCTACTTTTTGTTTTCTTTGTAAATTGGTGGCCGTTTGCTGTTAAGTCAAATATAAAAATAATAAGTATAATGAACTTCTTATTGACTCAGACGTTTCTTTTAGCTCATGTCCCGAGTGCTAGGGAAAGTTATGCATGTAACCTGCCAAGCAAAATATGTTACAAATTATGATAACTTTAAATGATAACAACAAATAAAAGGAAAACTAATGGTTGTTTAAAGTTATTTAACACAATGATAAACCTCTGACGCCTTTAACAACAACAGCAACAATATTTAAATTACCAGTTCTTAGATTTAGAAATTAGAATATTACAAAAGGTTTTAGTATTGAAATATTTACCAAAAAAAAACAAAAAAAAACGAAGACAACAACAAAAAACTGGCAAGCTGAAAATAGAGAACTATGAAAAAGGACAGGAAAAAAACAACATAAGAAAGTATAGAAAAAAGATAACATGATCCTTATTGGTACGATGTTCATATGAAATGTTTATGCTAGGCGAAAACCAGAATCATATAATTAATTGAGCTATGTCTTTTAAGCAATGTACGCAATAAAAAAAATATCCAACGTCAAAAGAGCATTTAAACCCAGCTGTTTTTAAGAGTAAGAAACGAAATTTATACGTGAACATCAAGACCAGGTTTGAGCTAGTCAAATGACATCAGCATCATTCACGTTGTGTTGTAAATTATAAAGAATTTTAACTTTCCTTTAGTTGTTCGATTTTCCGTCCACCCATTGAACCACTGACATCCAAAATAAAGAGGACGTCTTTCGGAATAACCGTTTTTACTTCTGGGGCAAGAAAATGCACGAAATATCCATTGACGACCTAAACAAGAAAATGAAACAACTTACAAGCAAGATAACAGTAATGGGTTGATAAGATTTAGATTGACGGCAAATGTGATTGACACAACAATGTTCATCGAACGTTATAGTACCTAAATATCGAATTAAACTGTTATCCTGCTAATTATCTATTGTATAATATCACGTGACATATAATAATAAGAAAAAGATGATTTTACACATGACATGATATGAAGAGGGATTAAAGACGGAATGGCATCACCTTGAATTATACGCGAGACTATAAAATGTGTACGAGCACCACACTAAATACCGTATTCCGGTATATACCGGACAAGGTGCCTAAATGATAAAACGCTAATTCGCCTTTTCACCAGCCGAAATGCACTTTAAGACGTCTAATTCATCTATTCTTACTGAATTATGTACTGCCATGAATAACAATGTAAGAATCGTTGAAAACAGCGATATTTTTCTATTTTGTTACACGGTAGTGAATTAAATGACTGAATTATTCCGATTTATAATTGAAAGAAAACATGACTGCCACGATTTACCCTAAATATGTTACTATGTTTGATTTCAGGTATAACTATTATCTTATCTTTTATCTCTGAATTAAAAGAAATGTACCAAAATATCTCCCCCATCCAGTGACCTATCTATATCATATTGTACAATAAACTGTCCAGACACACCGTCCGTGCCTTGATCGTCTAACGTTGGTGAATATTGAATGATTGCACTTCTACTGGTAGGCCTTGTTATTACCGCGAGCGCGTTTTCTAGAGAGAAAAAGAAAAACATAAACAGTTCTTTAATACATTAATAATTATTTATTATGTTGTAAGAGATGAAATGGAAATAAGTTCAAATTGTAGTGTTCACAGTATTAGTAATCAAACAATTTCTTTTTTAAAATCAATTAGTAATAATATCATAACATGTAGAAATTTCGTACCAACGGAAGATACATGACGTTCCAATTAGTAATGTTTTATTGTTGATATTTATGATATTTTTATAATAAACATGGATAAAATATTACATGTTTGAATTTTTTATTTCAATAAGATACTAATTCAATACATACCCTTTACCTCTTCGTTTTCCGTAAGTAAATGTTTCAAAGCTTTGATTGGGGGAACCACGAGCTTTGTAATGTCACGTGATTCCAAAATGGCTACTGTGACCTGAAATTATTAATTATCACATCTATCATATAAGACAATTGGCTGTATAAGAAGCCTGCACCTCTAATTCATACTTTATACAATACTAATCTCTTGCAAGTTTAATATCCTTGAAATTTGTTCCGATTATTTCGAAATGTCTCATAAGGCCACGTGACAAGCTTCGTTCATAAGTCACTACGCGTACAGAGACTGACATGAGCTCAGCTCATTGTAAATCTAAACATTTATAATTGCAAAAGTAATAAAAAATACTTACATGTATATGTTATACTGTTTATTTAATGTCTATATTTTAGCAACATACCTTAAAATCTTTAACGGGATAGCCAGGGTTTATAAATATCTTGTGTTCATACGCCCCTTTGACACGTTTAAGTAGTTCCTGGTATGTTAAATTGAACGTAGATTTACTGAAGGCGGCAACTGATATTTTGACATTGAACTTCCTGGATTCCCGTGGCCTTGAAAAATAATTGCCCAAAAATTAAAAGATTTTTTTTAATATCACTGATTTAGATATCAGAGACAGAAAGTGGAAATCAAAAAATTGTGTAAATTCGCCGCATATTGATTATTTTATAAATGAGTATACAAATGAATACATGTACATGTATACATACATGTTTTAAACAAGCAGTAGGCCTAAATTTTATTATATTGTAATGTGGCCTTACGATGGCTCGATGAATCTTTGCGACAACACTTAATAGTATTTAGAGAGATATTCCTAAAATTAATTTCAAATAAAATTAACCTTTTGATACAGGATACATGTGATTTAATGCCAAAAACAAATGCAAAGTCATAACTGCCTGTGTTCAACCATGATGGAGATGAAATATGACACAGAAGCACATTTTATCTGTTTTCAAATGTTTTAATGATTTTCATGGAAACTAAGCAAAGGGTTAGCTAATAATTACTTTTGACTGACAAGTCCGGCTGTCTGTCCTCTTTTCTTTGCTCTCTCATAATCTTTCTTTGCTTCACCTTTGTCCTTTACTATACCTGGATATATCTGACCATCTATCTCACTGTTAGTTGTAAAAACAACTTTAAGTCATATTCATTATATAAACCTATCACAAAATGTTAAAATCAGAATTTCTTTTAGACCTAAGATTTCAAATAGATAAGTTCATGCAGGTTTTTGAAAAATGACAGTTAAAACATAATTGTTGAAAATGTTCTTCAGACTTTATACTTATTTCATATTTGTGTAACGGTAATCTAAGTTTCGCGCCATTTGACTGCTTAAACGAATTGATTTATATATTTATTACTGTAAAAAACCCTGAAATTTCTTGCTCACTTTTGTTCAAAATATATACTAGAAAATTTGCGCGACTTGTGCAATTGCCTAGAAAATATTTGTTAATATATGCCATTTAAACATATGCCATGGACATCTTTATAAAATTATCGAAATGAAACGAACTACAAGCTTTGAAATAAATGAATGAAGTAAAAAATAGTAACTTCATATGAATTTTTACATACAGAGTAAAGTTTGAAATAAAGGCCTCCTCTGGTAGGAAGACATTGAAGACAGTCTCCTGTGTGTAGTTAGCCGGGTTGGCCACTCGGCTGGTGACCAGTGTAGTAGCAAAGCGGTACTGAACATCGGTTCTAATATGAAGGGAGTATATGCTTGGAGACTGAAACTGTTCAACTTGATCATGAACATTTTGAATAATCATAAACATAATTGAGATTATGGACACCGAATTTTCATACTTGTTACAATAAATTGCAATATATATTTATACATGCATCAAAAGTTAATTCAGTTATCCATCAGTAATAAACATAAAGATCTATAATACAGGAAAAATGTATAAGCTAACTATTATTTCATCCTTCTCGTGACTAAAAGAGCAGCGGCCATTAAAGTTGCAAAAATGTGCTGAAATACTACTACTGTATTGAACAACGTTTCAAAGAGGAAAAATTTACCTTTGCTGGGACAACAAGTACTAGAATCGTCAGAGAAAGAATTGAACACTTGACCGACATCATACTGATAACTGAAACAGCACGACCAGTAACAGCCATTTTTAAGTATAAAAGGCAACAGCAAATATCTAGTAAACAGGGCAACAACAAATATCTAGTAAACAGGGCAACAGCAAATATCTAGTAAACAGGGCAACAACAAATATCTAGTAAACAAGGTAACAACAAATATCTAGTAAACAAGGTAACAACAAATATCTAGTAAACAAGGTAACAACAAATATCTAGTAAACAAGGTAACAACAAATATCTGGTAAACAGGACAACAATAAATATACATGTATAGTAAACAAGACAACAACAAATATCTGGTAAACAGGGCAACAACAAATATCTTGTAAACAAGGTAACAACAAATATCTTGTAAACAGGGCAACAACAAATATCTGGTAAACAAGGTAACAACAAATATCTTGTAAACAGGGCAACAACAAATATCTGGTAAACAAGGTAACAACAAATATCTTGTAAACAAGACAACAACAAATATCTAGTAAACAAGGTAAACAAGGACAACAAATATCTGGTAAACAGGACAACAATAAATATACATGTATAGTAAACAAGACAACAACAAATATTTAGTAAACAAGGTAACAACAAATATCTAGTAAACAGGGCAACAACAAATATCTAGTAAACAAGATACAACATATATCTGGTAAACAAGGTAACAACAAATATCTGGAAAACAGGACAACAATAAATATACATGTATAGTAAACAAGACAACAACAAATATCTAGTAAACAGGTTATAACAAATATCTAGTAAACAAGGTAACAACAAATATCTGGTAAACAGGACAACAATAAATATACATATATAGTAAACAAGACAACTACAAATATCTAGTAAACAAGGTTATAACAAATATCTAGTAAACAAGGTAACAACAAATATCTGTTAAACAGGACAACAATAAATATACACGTATAATAAACAAGACAACAACAAATATCTAGTAAACAAGGTTATAACAAATATCTCGTAAACAAGGTAACAACAAATATCTAGCAAACAAGATACAACATATATCTGGTAAACAGGGTTACAGTAATTAAGTATTTAATAAAGAAGGTAACAACAAATATCTGGAATGTAAGGTAGGAGGTAACATCTCATAAGCAAGGAAATGGCAAAATATGTAGTATACGAATTTTATTATGCTGTAACAATTAACATTTCTTATATACAAGGTTACAGTAAAATATCTTTGTATACGTAGTAGCAGCAAATATCAGGTAAACAAAGATATAGCAAATATCAAAAAAAGTTACAACAAAATATCTGGTATATCTGTTTGCTTAATGTTTCAAAACATTTTAGATTTACCTATTATCCCGTCTGTATTGACAAAAACATTCGATAATGACTACATGAAACCGTCTGGAATATGTTGTATAAGTAGTAGAATATCTTCCTGCAAAGTCGTAAAATATTTACGCTTCTAGGTAGTGATGATGTATAATGTACTTAACGTTTATTCTGGCGAAAGATATAAAACATTCATTCTGAGAAAATCTCTGTATTGTATACAGTAAGCCGTGCATTCTTAAGGTATGGTGGCTAATTTGGAACACTTTTGTGCGTCGTGTTGTCGCCAGCGACAGAACGACAAAGCGCAAAACGGCGCGTTGTCGCACTGTCGTCTTGTCGCTAACAAAGCTCGTCAAATAGCGTGATGTCGTGCGGCGTATTGTCGCGATGTCACATTTTTTCTAGGCTATAATCGAAGGACTGACTATTCGTACATATATAAGCCAAAGACAGGACGATATCGCGACAACGCGCCGCACGACAACGCGCCGTTTGGCGTGCTTCGTAGCGACTGGACGACAAGTCGACAGTACAACAACGCGACGTTTGACGCTTTCGCTAGCGACAAGACCAAAAGGGGATAACGATATAGGTTGTGTTGTCGCTATCGACAACGCAAAGCGCAAAGTGTACCAAATCAGCAAACCATAGTAAGGCATATCATCTAGAGAAATATACAAAAGTAGAATTTAAATTAAAATAACGATGTTTAATTGGTTTAGCACTGATAAATTCTGCAATGTCTTATAATTTACATAACGCTGTTAAATTAATTGATATAACGTAGAGAATCAAACACTAGGCCATCTGATTTGTATGAGGGGACGCAGCCCCCGAATATAAATCAGATTGCCGAGTGTCTTGATGTTCTTTCTCTTTTGAATCATAGGCAAAAATATTAGTTACCCGCACTCCAGAGCATGCTAGGCACCCTCGTACAAATCCGATCGTCTCGTGTTTCAATGCTCTTTCTATTATTATGTAACATCGTACGTTGTGAAAATGTAAAATATCAACAAAATATATTGGTTAAATTGATGTAAACGTTGCATAATTGATGTTACATCGCATAAACGTTATAAAGTGGCATGGCATATACTTTCAAATTTAATCAACCTTTTTATGTTTTTATGTTGCCCTCAATTTTTTGTTAACGTATTATTTTCTTCCAGAATGGGATTAGAACTGTTTTGAATATATGCCACTCACTTGGTAAGTATTTTAAAAATTGGTAGAAATTTCAACAAAAAATATATAAATCAAACAAAAAACATTTAAAAGATAAATACGATATATATTTTATTGAGCACATTAAACTTTTACCCCATAAGCATATTGCGAAAATTGGCCATTTTCACTGTAAAGCCGCCTGTAACAAGTTCAAACTGCTATGGAAGTATGAAAAATGCTTCAATACTAATGAAACTTGGCACAAATGTTGACTACACCATAGCCTCTGTAACAGCATGCTCAATGGTAAATTTCCTGTTACTATGGCAACGGGGAAACGTCTCAAAATTGCCAAAAATCACTATTTTGCATTGTGTTTTTTTCCATCAAAACTGATTTTAAAGTGCTGCAACTTCTCAATGAATTGAGATAGAGTAAAAGGCTTTTCAGCGTCGGTTACTAGCTACCCTAAGATCGACCTGAGGCCATTTTTAGCCTGTCACATGTCCAAAATTTTCTTTGAGATGAGGGGGACTCCGACCCCTTCAAACCCCCCAAACAGAAGGGGTCACATCCCCCTTCTGGCAACCCCCTGATGTAATATTTGGATGGGTGACGGTGCCGAAAAAAGGTCACTTTTTTGAACAACATTTCTCAAACGAAAAACAGTGTTTGGGGTCTAAATAGGGCATTTTTTCACTGTTTGAGGCCTCAAAAAGGGAGGGGGGCAAAAAGCCGTCGAAACACGCTTATATAAGAGAAAAGGTTAACAAAAAATGATGAAAAATATTGGAATTACACAAAAACTAGATTTTCCATGTTAACACATGCCCTAACACCGAAATTTGGTGAAAAATTGTTGTTTTTTGACATTTTTTATTTTTTTAATTAACCTTTTACCCCATAAGCATATTGCGAAAAATGGCCATTTTCACTGAAAAGCCGCCTGTAACAAGTTCAAACTGCTATGAAAGTATGAAAAATGCTTTTATCTACACCATAGCCTCTGTAACAGCATGCTCAATGGTAAATTTCCTGTTACTATGGCAACTGGGAAACGTCTCAAAATTGCCAAAAATCACTATTTTGCATTGTTTTTTTCCATCAAAACTGATTTCAAAGTGCTGCAACTTCTCAATGAATTGCAATAGAGCAAAAGGCTTTTCAGCGTCGGTTACTAGCTACCCTAAGATCGACCTGAGGCCATTTTTAGCCTGTCACATGTCCAAAATTTTCTTTGAGATGAGGGGGACTCCGCCCCACTTCAAACCCCCCAAACAGAAGGGGTCACATCCCCCTTCTGGCAACCCCCTGATGTAATATTTGGATGGGTGACGGTGCCGAAAAAAGGTGTACTTTTTTGAACAACATTTCTCAAACGAAAAACAGTGTTTGGGGCCTAAATAGGGCATTTTTTCACTGTTTTTGGCCTCAAAAAGGGAGGGGAGGGGGGGGCAAAAAGCCGTCGAAACACGCTTATATAAGGGGAAAGGTTAACAAAACAATGATGAAAAATATTGGAATTACACAAAAACTAGATTTTCCATGTTAACACATGCCCTAACACCGAAATTTGGTGAAAAATTGTTGTTTTTTGTCATTTTTTTAATTAACCTTTTACCCCATAAGCATATTGCGAAAAATGGCCATTTTCACTGAAAAGCCGCCTGTAACAAGTTCAAACTGCTATGAAAGTATGAAAAATGCTTCAATACTAATGAAACTTGGCACAAATGTTGACTACACCATAGCCTCTGTAACAGCATGCTCAATGGTAAATTTCCTGTTACCATGGCAACGGGGGGACGTCTCAAAATTGCCAAAAATCACTATTTTGCATTTTTTTTTCCATCAAAACTGATTTCAAAGTGCTGCAACTTCTCAATGAATTGAGAAAGAGTAAAAGGCTTTTCAGCGTCGGTTACTAGCTACCCTAAGATCGACCTGAGGCCATTTTTAGCCTGTCACATGTCCAAAATTTTCACTGTTTGAGGCCTCAAAAAGGGAGGGGGGCAAAAAGCCGTCGAAACACGCTTATATAAGGGAAAAAGTTAAATAAGTTTCAAGAAAAATTTAGTAATGAAGTGTAAAATCTTTTATCTGAAATTCATTTAGGTCAAAATTGTAAATAAACCCATATCTTAATGAAAATATGTGACACTTTAAGTAATTTCTTTTTACTGATAAATATTTTTAAATATTACTTTATTTCTGTTTAACATTTTTGATTTATCAATGTTCTTCCTAGTTATTGAACATGTTTGTTTAAGTTGTACTTTTGTCTGATAAATACTTTGATAAAAAGGTAAATACAATTAATTAAACGGAAATAGTATCTACCATACTTATAAGCTTTAATACATGCTTAATAAATATCTAAATTGCACATTAACTATATGGTATCAATATGTTGATAAAAATATAAAGCAGTATTTATACCTTATTTTTATCTTCGTGTGAACAGAATCATTAACACACTGTAGTAGCATACATGCATTATTCCCTTCTTTTTCTGATTCATACTGTGTTTCATTGCGCTTAATTAGATATATTGAGGTTTTACGTAATACTTGTCGATTAAACTTTGACAATTACACTATATGTATTAATGAGCATGCTATTGCATTTACTCCTTGGCATCGTAATTTTTAGTATTGATGTCATTGAATAATTTTGAAGTATCCCGGTCTTTTCAGTTGTTAACTTACGTGAGTTGACAACTCGAACGCTAATATAAATATATGAGCCGCGTCACGACAAACCAACATAATGGGTTTGCGACCAGCTTGGATCCAGACCAGCCTGCGCATCCGCGCAGTCTGATCAGGACCCATGCTGTTCGCTATCAGTTTCTCTACTTGTAATATGGTTGGTAAGCGAACAGCATGGATCCTGATGCGGATGCGCAGGCTGGTCTGGATCCATGATGGTCGCAAACCCACTATGTTGGTTTTGTCGTGACACGGCTCATATAAATGTTAAAATTCTGTGTGAGGATGTCATGTGTTTCCTTTGATCAATTCACGATTTCAATAATAATAAAGTCGTTACTTTTCGGCTCCTCCTTCAATATTCGGACAAGGACCTCGAACACACAGAACGGTCTAAATCAAAGTACTTGAAAGTACGAGGGATGGCGATTTCCGAATTATGATAAATTAATCTTTCGACTCCAGCAATCATATATAATGCCCCGGTCACATATTCACGGATAATGCCACGGAAGAGCTACGGTCTAATCGGTCACGGATTACTACGCTAAATGTGAAATTCCGTAGTCCGCTACGGTCCCAGTACGGACACACAACGGTATGAGTACGCAGTCCGACGGATTTACCACCAGAAGCCCCCGGAGAGACACGGATTGTTACGGACCGACACGGTTTGATACGGAGCGACACGACTCAGGACGGACGCACTACGGATACACTACGGTCTGCTACGGTATAAGCACGGGTTAGTACGAATAAGTACGGTCTGACACGGAGAAGAACGAATTGAAACGGAGAAGAACGAATTGTCACATATCTATACGGACCTTATACATCCGTCCATAACCTCTTGCTTGCTCATTTTTCAAAATGCCTCACAAGAAAAGAATACCTAGAACAAGAATTGCAGAGTTCAATGAATTTGGCGGAGAGGATTCAGCCTAATCGGGTCCGACCCCCGAGACACATCAGGTCCGATTAAAGTGAATTTCTTGAAGGACGCTGGATCCTCAACAAGTTCGGCCATGAGAGCCTCATACTAAACATGAAGCGGTCTTTGTAAAAGCCCATCTCTAGTCCACCATCTCGTCTGTCTTTTCTTACCTGATTAGATATGGACTAGTAATCATTAATGAAAAATGTTGATCAATACTGCTTCTCTTTTAATTTTAAGATTTGCTGTATATTTTACAATTACATTAATTATCGTGAATGTTTATGTTTTAAAAATATGTAAAAAAGCTTGTTATTTGATCTTATTATCACTCAAGGGCCAGCGTCCGAGACTTATGAGACACTTCGTTTTATGTCCATATTTACTCCAATTTCACGATCCAATCTTTGTAAAATATGTAACATTAAATGTTATTCTATTACTTATGAATTATAGTACGATATCAATATAAATTTACTTCTATGCATGCCATCAAGCAGCTCGACCAAAGCCTCCGCATTCTGAACCATTTCAACATAAAGTTGCAGCCAGTAAATGGTAATTATCATTTATTGAATGTTCCCGCAAATATGTTTGTTTTTAACAAGAAAATAGTATTTATACCCTTGAAAAAATACATGATACTTAATTCATCGGTACTAAACAGTGGTGGACCGTACCATTCCGTACCGTTTCGTATTGCAACGCAAAAAAGGTATAAGACCGTGCTAATCCTTGCCTCTCCGTAGTACAGCGTATTACGATCGTGACTTTCCGTGACAATGTCGTATTAATCCGTATTAAAACCGTAGCTTAAACGTAGGGTAACCGCAAAAATACGTAGTTCTCCGTACCAAACCGTGGAAATCCTTAGCTGCCGCAGACTCTTGATTTACTCGACACACAAGAGAATTTATACCAACTTGAAACATTTAGATTTTACCCATAAACTATCAAAAAATTGTTTTTCGTATTTCTATGAAACGGCATTCAATAAATCATAATTTTGTATATATCTCTGAAAGCGTTTCTTTTCCCCTTAAATTCTCATTATTTCCCATTATTTCTTCATGTCTGTGATAAACATTTAACCATCACTTAAACAAGAAAGAAGAATTTATTTTGACGCGTATATTGCAGTTGTTGGGCATTTGCAATTGGAAACGAGAGCATGTTTATGAACTTGATATCGCGTTCCAAAAAGTATAAACATGTAAAAAAATGGTATGTAAATGCTAAGATTTGTAGTTAAAACATTTATGTAGTTAAAACAGTCATGTAGTTAAAACATTCATGTAGTTAAAACATTCATAAAGATGATTTTGAACAAAATGTTAATTATTGCATTTTATCATCCCCATCAGTTCAATATATCCTTGACTGAATTAATATTGTATTTTGTTGTAGTGTATTGATAAAAGTATTATACAAAATGTTTAATCGTTCAGTGTACACGCGACTTTGTTTTTAGCCTCATAATATTATATAGAGGATATTTGTTAAGTTTAGTGTAAGATCGAAATATATTTCACCGAGTGAGCACCAAAAGGTATATTTCACGAGTGAAATATGAACTTTTGGTGTTCACAAGGTGAAATATATTTCGATCTTACACTAAACTAAACAAATTTTCTTTTTATTATATGCAAAGAAACGTTTTAAAAAGACATTAAACCTAATACTGAATGAAAAGCGCGCCAAATAATAATACAACGTGACGTCATTTACGACGTCACGTCATTAAGTTGGTACCTAGTACTGTGCACGCTGGTATTTCACTGAAACAACGTAAGGGGCTTAAATTCAAAACAGTGAAATTATCAAAGTGGTAATTTCACTGTTTCAAACAGTGAAATTACCAGTTTTAAATCACTGATATATTTCTATAAACCACCGAAAAGCATGTAATAAATGGGTAATATTCTGTAGTTTACACGTGTCTAAATAGAATAGTTAGAACTCCTTCGTACATGTAACACGTGATATCAAAATCACTTTATGTAATAAAACATAAAATATCTGCACATATGCAAAACTCTTGTAAGTTTCAAATAAGTTTGCTTCCTTTGCCACGTAAAACGTTTGGCTGAAAGTTTGCACTTTTATCACATTTATAGATTTTTTTAAATTTTTATCATAAGACAATGACAAGTGCGTATTACTTACATGCATTCATTTCCTACAAGTGAATATTCCAAATGTATTTATATCACGTTGTTCTTCATTTAAATTCTCTAATAGCAAAACTATCTCACTTGAATATGAACAAATGTACATCAAAATGTGATAGCGAACTGCCAAGATTACCTGTTTACCTGTCTTTACAGCTGTTTCAGTTGGTAGGGAATGAGCAGGGTGGGTGTGTGTGTGTGGGGGGGGGGAGAGGGGGTTGAGACTGATAAACTAGCATATCTTAATTTCTCAAAATGTTGTTTGTTTGTTTGATTTACCACCCTAGTGACATAATATGAACAACAGTATAAGTTTGTAAAGTACTTGTCGGGCACAGGAGCAGGTGTTGGGAGGAGGCTAAATTGGCTGAAGCCGCTGCTCCCAGACGCTTGACCTGTATCAAAATAGGGATTTAAAATGTATATCAAAAAAGCTGATTCAAGATAAATGTAGGCCACTTAATCCTTAATAGAAGCCTGGATTCCTGCTGAGCTCTCCGTCATAAAACCTGTCAGCCAAATCACTGTATGCCTTGGAGAAATTTGTTGTATATGTATACTTTAGTGGTAATATACATTATCTCATGGTGCGGTGATTTGTACGAAAGACCGGCCGGTGGGGACATTTCAACTTCATGAAATCACCAATTCATCTTCGTTAAATCACCAATTCATCTTCGTTAATTCTCAGCTTCATCTTCCTGAATTCTCGAAATCAGCTAAACGAATCAACTTCGTGTATTCAAGATTTCAACTTCACGAGTTCACGGTTGGAATCGTGAATTCGTGAAGTTGAAATCATAAAAATGAAACTGGAATTTGTGAAGTTGGAATCGTGAATACGTGAAATTGAAATAGTGATAATGAAATTAGTAACTGTAACTGAAGCTATTGACTGTCAGAGAAAAACATATGGAGGTAGTTCATAAAAATAAATATGACTTTAACCTCCGCCAACTCACTTTATTTTTCACAATATGAACTATATATCATAGATATTTTATTGATATAGCACAATATTTCATGAGTAAAATTATAGAAACGTGTACAGTAAAAACCCTTAATTAAGACCATCATCGGGACTGGACTAAAGAGGTCATAATTGCGGGGTGGTCTTATAATAATTGTGGATATCATTGCTTACGTTCTTTATGTCTATGGTCTATTTTGTCATTTTGTATGAACAAACAATATGTATCTTAGCCTACAAATACAATATGTAAGTATGTTATAATATTAAATCTGAAGAAATTAAATATCAAATTCTCTTTGGTCTGATTTCAATATTAATTATTATATGATGTTTATAATTCATCTATTAAATAAAAATAAATTCGTCACTTTAAAGCAACATTAAACTACATGTACTCTAAAATTTACTTTTTCACCTTATTTCATAAATATCCGAATAATAACAGTTTTTGACACCTTGTGAAATCAAGTGTCATGCCTTAGAGCATTCAAGCAGAAAATAATAACATAACAAATTTAAGATCTAGTTACGTGTTGACTTAGATATCAGTGGTCTCAATAGTGGGGTCAAATAAAGAACAAATAAAGAATTGGGACTGAATCTGGTGGTCTTAAAATTGGATAAGCGAGGTGCTCTTAATTCTGAATCATGTAACTATTGACATAAAAAACTGCAAATTTTGCTCTTTTACAAAATGGTCTTAACAAAATATCTGGTATACAGAGTTAATAAAAAAGTAACCATTTTATTTAAAACCGTCGAACTTTTAATTCTTGTCAAATAACAATTTTAATGTAGTAAAATCACAAAGCCTTTGTAGATGAGTGATACTTTATCAATTCATTTATAAGATTTAGTGTACACATGCAAACAAACATATATTCACGTAACAGGCTACTCAGACGCCATCATGTCTGATTCAATATTTCACTCCTCCGTGGCAAGAAGAAAGATGTGATAGGCACAATTAAAAATGCATCGTTCAAATGATTATGAAACATAAAAAAAAATGAGTCTATACAAAGCATCGGTAATCATTCCAACACGAAATGTCATTACTGTTTTCTTGTTTACGCGTCATTGTTTGTCAGGCCATGTACATGCAAATCTGTTTCCTCGTCAATCAAGACATAAGCTAAATTTGTTACATATTTGACCGTGAAGAAATAACAAACTAATAACTTAATGAAACACAATATTACTCTCTTACCACCTCCTTAAAAGTAACGTCTTTATACCCTTTTCAAGTGAAGTCATTAAAATTCGTCAAAAACATTTCGAATTTTATCCCAATTGACAGTTACTGCATCCTGGTCTTTCATGGCCTGAATGATGATGTTCAGATCTGGATTTTTTCTATTTCTATTTCTCCATTCTTTCAGCATATGAAATATTTTTGTCGCTGTTCCTGTATTTCTTTGCTTTATACGTTCAATTTTGTCCGCGGATAAGTCTAGAGCAATTCCTAAAAGTTCCCAATTAGTCCCTATGGCTTGAGCGATTCTGTTCAAGTCTTTTTCCGTGGCACGTCGATCATAAGTTGAATGTGATGCTGATATTTTCTTTTCTTGAAACCATTCCTCAATAGCCTTCCGAACGTTGATAGGATGGTCCTTATAGTCAGGGCAAGGAACGGTGACCTCACCTCTGATGTTGTTCAGATGATGTATTTCATTACTTCCATCAGCTTCATGATCTGAATGATTACACTTAATGTAATGACTGTATATATTCTCTCTCGTCTCGTTGCTAAGTTTACCAAACTCATGGCATATCACCATTTCTACGTATCTGCGAAAGCGGTCGGACACGACGTCAATTTTCTCTCCCGATTGACATAGAATGGCGACCATCAATTCAATACCTGTATCCTTCTTTTTCATAATCCTTCCGGCATGTTGTCTGTCTAATCTGTAGAAACCAACATTTTCGAAAACTAAGTACTGCTCCTCGTATTTGATTGGCGGCCAACGTCCTAGGGCAGCTGCTGTAATGCGCTCATAAACAGTATTCAATACTGTGGTATTATCGAGGCTAATGCCAAGTATTACACTTGAAAAGGATTTTCTGCTCAGAAAACTGTCGGCTGTTTCTTTACTACAATATCTTTTAAGAAAACTTGGTATCATGTATTTTCCCATACCAACCAGGTCGGTCGCATTGTCATCTGATTGTAGTTCTGCAAGGATTCTGTGTCTCTTCAAGAAATTAAGCAAAATATCTGACCAGTTAAAGTACTCCGTGTTTCTCTCTTTGCTCCAAACGGCGGATATGATTTCTTTTTCTAACACTGCCATGTTTTTCATCTTTTTCCATAGCTGATAGAGCTGTGAACTTCCCTCACATATAGTTTTAGATGTTATGATGCATTTGAATGCATCAATCAGAAACTGAGGGCTAAGAATTACGTGATCTTTTAAGCCTTCCTCATCAAAAAACACGAGTGTCCCTTTTCCGTGATGGTATTTTAGAAATTCCTTTATCTGATCCTCTTCCCCAATTGGCAGATCATTTCGTGAATCCATTTCTTTTACATCGTTTAAGGTAACAATATGTTTGTGTCTGTTCTCTAATAACGCCATTTCTAGAGGTATCCATTTTGCAGGAATCAGCTTTTGAAATGCAGTTTCTTCTCCGATTTGATATATTGTTTTTCTAAGTTCGTCAATCACGTCATCATCGTCCGACATGTCTACATTAGCAACAGCAAATGTACGGTCATAGATATGTTTCCGAACATCAGTTCCTGCAAACAAATCTTTAACTTCTTTAAACTTCGCATTGACATCTCCAGTAAACTTGTCTTTGTGCGTTCCAACAAGAATGACCTTTGGCTTTGAAGCATCATCTGTCCCAACAAATGCATTGATGGAATTTACCCAAAACTTCAAGCTCGTTTTCATTTTTTCCTGTCTATCCGGAAAATCATAATCTTCTAATATGTTATTAAGCCCCTTCCTAAGATCAAAAACCAAAAGATACACAGCGTCCCTTGAATGAAATATTTGATGAGTTGCATAATACACGAATTGTCCACCAAAGTCCCAAATAGTTGCAATAAGTTCATCTTCTGCTATTGTTCTGTTTTCAGATAAATCCTCCGAAAAACGTCGAAAGAGCGGCAGACATTTGACAGACGTTCTGGAATCAGTAGAGTGTACTTGACTGTCAGCAGTATCTTTAGTTTTACCTTCATTCGAATTCTCAATTTTATCACCGTTTTCGTCTTCATTAGCAAATGATTCATTTAAGTCAGTTGTTAAATCTAGATCATTATTTTCTTCCGAAAGATCCACCGGTAAGCATGTTTGGCCGTTTTCTACAGTTTTTGCTACAGAAACAAGGCGACTTGAGATTTCCTCAGATTCTTTAGCTATATCAAATCTTTTCCAGTTACTTTCCTTGATTTTACATCGCCTTATATGTACATCAATTCCATCTGTAGTATCAGTATTATGAAAGGGTTCATTCAAGAGACGTCTTGTAAGTGTAGTTTTACCTTGTGCATAGAATCCAATGATATTTACACGTACGTGTCTATCATGCTCTTGACCTTCTTTCAAAACACGAGAAAATAAAGAATGATCGTCTTTTTCCAAATGTGCCTATATAAACGAAAATTTTCAAGACTAAAAAATATTTATAACAATAATAAAACAACTGATAAAAATAAATATATATCATTGCAAAAACGTAATGGCTCTTTACGACTGATTAGTCGTTAAATATACATTTAATATCTTCCCTCGATTACAATGTCATAAATCTATAGCCTTTTTAATAAATATTGATAATGTAATCTAAAATGAAAAACCCTTTTTATAAAGAATACCACTTGTATAATAACTTACATTAGAAAAAATGGTCACACCTTTGAAAGATTGGGGTTTATTTGTAAAACCTCAAGCGTTTGTCCCAACTGGTTTCCAAGTGAGTGCAGAATTTCTTGAATTGGAGTTACAAGAACGCCAGTTTCTTTAACCATGATTCTACTTATAATGCCAATGCAGCTCAAGTGATTACTATTGTCGATCAGATACACAGCCGCACCGACTTCATTTTCAGTGGCAAATTGTTCACCTTCAACCGGGATGATATGATATTGGTCTTTGTATGTCATAACTTGCATAAAATTTGGTTCATCTCGCCTTATAAAGTGTGTTTCTGTTTTTATTTCTCCATTATGCTCTTTAAACTTCCCTTTTGTCAAACCAGAGGCATGACCAACCTTTATTAAAATGTGAGATTCTATATCGTCGGAGGTTAGTTCCCTTGCATCAATCACAACATTGTCTGTGCTAGACAGCTGGGTGTGCGCGGAATAAAGCCCTAAAAAAGTAGAATATATGGGTTTTACTGATCATTTTTTGATAAAAAAATACAAGAGCCAACGCGGAGCGGTGCCGACGCTCGCCTTTTTACTTTTTGACAGTTTAAGCAAATCTTTAAAATAAACTTAAAGAAAAAAGTTCTTCCCTTTTTAATTTTGATAGGGCTGTCCAGCAACACTTGTTGTTTTGTCTAAGTTTGATCATTTCTATGAATAAATGACAACGTGAGGAAATTATAATCAAAACGGTCAAGGTCATTTAAAGGTCAAATAGGTCTAAAATATTTAAAATGTCTGTTTCTTCATAAGTGTTGTTTTGTCCACGTATGGACACGTACGATAATAAAAAAATTATATGACAACTTTACCAAAATTGAATTATTTTACCTTGACGATCAAGATCATCTAAAGGTCAACGTAATGGTCAGTTCAACCTTACAGAAGGTCTTGTCCAAAAGGTTATTTCTATGGAAGTATGAAAATTATCAATTGATTAAAGATCCTGTATGTTTTGTAATTGTGGTTGTATACCACTCTTACGTGAAATTACATATGTATATAATTATACTTATACAACAATTTTCAAACATCGAAGAATATGTAAAATATGTACTGCAAATATTTGTACAGATATATAAATGTACTCATTGAAACATTTGACTTAGAATTTATAGAAAACCAATTTCTAAATACCTCTCTTTATTTACATGAAAAAATTAAAGTCCGTAACTTACAATAAATAAATAGTAAATAATGCTTTTTGGAACTAATAATATTGATAAATCTTAATTTAAGCATCATATTTTTTTTTATATAAAACCATAAAACAATGTGTGAAAGGATCTTTAATTACCAAGTTACAGCCATTTATAGTGAACATAACTGGCGAATGAGTAAGCTGATTCAAAAGTATAAGTTACTTATGTAAGACTGACTTTCTAACAGAGTCGAATTTGGAATACAAGTCGATTTGTTAAGATAAAACAACAGCATAAAACAGATTTTTATCAGAAAAAAGTTTCTGTTTTAAAGAGAAAGATTACTGTTAGTTTCTAAATTTTACAGTTAGTTGGCAATTGAACATTAAACTCTAAAATCTAACTCCATCGCCTTTTAAAGTATAACAAAGGTTTGCATTTAAATTTGCTGTATACTTAGATATAATTACAAAGTATATGAATGGTACAACTGTCAAATGCAAACAATAAGATTATAAACATATTTTATTTACATATCTTAGATTTACGCTTTGAAAAATAGTTTTTTTAAAATAACGAAAATCAATAATTTCATGAACAAAGGATTAGCAATAACTTCTGCATGTATATCAATAACTGACACCTTTACATTATATTTGCCAAATGCATATTAAGATCTGACTACATGATTTTAAAAACTTGGTCAGAAAAACAAGAATATTTTGTAACTGTAAACCAGTATAGTAATTGTATATGGTAGTAATTATGCACAAAATAAAAATAAGCGTACCGCTTTTTGTTAAATGTTCGTCGACTACTTGTATCAACTGTATCTTAGACGGTAAACACTCGTCAGATATCTTCACAAGAGTGACATCTAGACTTTCATCATACTCTGCTGCAATCACTTCACCACAATGCTTCACATCCTTTTCATCAGATACAGACGTTTTAAGGTAAACTTTTGTACCTATGAACTTTTCAGGAGATTTAAATGGACCAAAAATGTGTCTTACTGTAAGGAAACATAACTCCCCAGTTTCTTTAATTTTCAAAATAGGTCCAATTGTTCCACATGATTTCGTACTCGGACTGTATATGCAGCTTCCAATTTTGAGTTCTCTGGGCCCAATTGGCGTAGATCCTTTAATCAGATGTTCACCTTAGATAGATATAAAGAAATTATATCAAAGGGAAGATGATAAGACAACTTCTGAAACTGAAGATTACATTATCAGAGAAAGTTTAAACTATTAAACTATTAAAAAAAGAATATTTTCTTTTTTTCTTTAAAAGGTATATTATGATTCTTGAGATCAGTAATGGAAAATATCTAACTATCTGAGTTTTTAGTGCAACTCGCATTAACATGAATTCACATTAATTATTATATCGTATTGTAATGGAAGTTGCTTTTCTACTTTAAGTTCTGTGCGTTTAATTACCTGTTAATTCGGCATCAGCATTCTCTAATCTTAGTCTTTTATTGTTGTTATCTGCATGAATATCATCAGCGTGTCTCTTTCCTTCAGGCATTGATTCCCACATAACTTGCTCTGGTCACTCAAACCGTTTTATACTAAAACGGAACAAAAATAGAGCTGAGATTTAAGACTATTAATCTTATACTGTCTACAATGTTCGTAGACATTAGTTCACGGACAAAAATTTCAAGATAACCTCACACTAATACTATTATCAAACTTTGCTTCCATAGGCGCAGGTGTTTAATATCATTTTCGAATATAAAAATGGAAAAATTAGTAAGACAGTTCAGTTTGTGAAAATTGAGTTAGGTTAAAATGGATACATTTTTTGTAAATGACAAGTACCATTTCTATACACAATATGTTTACTTTTGATGTACTTTTTCAAGTACAATTATAGAGCCCTTACAAAAAGGAACTTTTTATAAAGGTTAATTTTCATATTTCACTAAGAAATTTTAACTCAATACTTTACTAATAATCGTAAAAATATTGTTCCAGTGTATGTGTACAAGTGCATCTTGAGATGATAATGCTTTTATTTTATCAGCCAACTGCACAAACTTAGATAACAATTACCTCCAGTGTTGCACGTGTAATTATGAAGTGTTGAGTGAACGATTATATCCGGCCGGATTCCCGTTAGTACTTGATCATAAATAATCAAAATATTTCATCAAAACATGTACATTATAATATTTTGCATAATGAGAACCTTATCACATAAGGTGTAATCATTTGCTAACATAATCAATTGAGCCGCGCCAAAACCAATGTAATGCGTTTGCGACCAGCATGGATCCAGACCAGCCTGCGCATCTGCGCAGTCTGATCAGGATCCATGCTGTTCGCTTACAAACCCCACTACAAGTACATAAACTGATAGCGACAGCATAGATCCTGATCAGACTGCGCGGATGCGCATGCTGGTCTGGATCCATGCTGATCGCAAACCCATTATGTTGGTTTTGTCATGACACGGCTCAATTGTCTTCATTGTTTTTTTTTCTTTTTTTTATCAATAAAATACAACAATCATGTAAAAATACACATGTATAAAAAACGTGTAATATGCATACATTGATATTTTCCATACAATATTCATCTACATTTTTATAAACAAATTATTAATATCATACTGTGATAAAGATCAGATTTATCTTATAGAATAATGGAAAAAAAATGTTGCTATGAAATTGAGATACTGTAGCAAATAATTTAAAAATGCTCCATATCAACTAAATCCCTTGTTTCACATGTGCTAATATTTTATAAAAATTACATATTTTATATCAAATTGCGTTCAAATGCGTATTGTCAGATGTTATTATATCACGCACGCATAAAATACTTCAGATCCGAATAGCAAACAATTTTAACCTACTTCGAAGTGTTTATTTTTTTTAAATCTTACAATGTTACAATTATAGTTATTAAGGTCCAACCATATCATATATTTTGCTGTTAAAAACTGCTACTTTGAAATCGAAAGCAAATCTGCCTACTTTCGCTTTTAGAAATAGGTTCGCAACTTTCACTTTCTTTGTTTTGAGTCATATGGTAGAAAAGATGTTTTATGATGTAATGTAATCATTTATAAACAACGTGAAACTATTGATTGTGTTAAACTTTTGCGATTTAAAATACAAACGATTTACGCTTTAGATCAAGTGTCATGCTTTGCTCGACCTTGGACTTTTCATTTCATTGGTTGTTACAATATTCAAACACAATTATTGTTTATCTTTAAATGAATAATATTTCTGATAAATGTATACTTACCAAAACATCAGTTCGTTGTCCTTTTTACATAACAATTCATAAAACATTTATGTTTAAAAAATCAGTTCCATTCTATACATTTAAAAAGATCTCGCGAATGCTTGGTCTAATTTTTTAAACAACATCCGTTATCGGCAAGCTAAAAGTGTACTGAATGTAGTACACTTGAGCAGATATTGTTCAAGGTCGCGCTATTAAATGTGCAATAATGCATGCCCCGCCCGTTCATTTTTTTAAAATAAATAATCTTACTTTAATTTATCTTACTGTAAGGGAGAATTTTAACAAGGAGGCTGAATTTAAAGAGCGATAATCATATCGCAAATAAGTTTATGGTTTGATATTAAATCTATTTTTTTTTTTCATTTAAGGGATTTTATTTGTCTCCAGTGACATGTATAATCCAAAATGTGATGCATCTGGCTCTTTTGTACGTTTATTTGTCTGTTTCTTTTTTTCCTTTATTTCTGCATTTAACTTATGCTCCCTTCCTTTACTCTTGTGTATATCTGACAGCCCTACGTAGCATTATCGGTATTATAATATTCATATATATAAGTGTATGAGAAAGCTACGTTATCTTGAATCATCGATTTTTGTGACAAGTACTAAATTTAAGTCAACATTATCAAGCACAACCTTGAAATCATATTCTAGTTTATTTTATTATTATCAGTAAAAACATATACATGTGTAGTGTGATCTTTTATTATATATATCTACCTATTTATCATTTTCTAAATAATAGAAACAGCATTGATACATGAGGCTATCTGATTTCTACGAGGGGGCGTAGCCCCCGAGTATTAATCAGATTGATGTTCTTTCTATTTTGTATCATAGTCAAACATAAAAACACGTTCCCTGCTGTCACAATATAAAAACCCAGAAAAAAGTCCCCAAACTATGATACAATTACAGATTTCATGATTACCCGGCAATGTGTTATCTCAGTACAGGAAACATTTCGATTTTGTCACCAATGTATTAAGAATAGATATGTATAAATGTACAAAGTTTTATTTATCTCCCTATCTTCCTTCTGTTGCCGACATTGAAACAACTCAACGTCTTGTTCTGTTCTGTCACATTGACCTCCAACAAGTGTTATGCTAAGAAAATTTGATGCAATTTGTTTGACAGAAATTTTGACAACAGATGTAGATTTCATAATTGTACAGCAGGAAATATGTGTAGGGCTTGTAAGTTTAAAAGTACATAGGGGTGGCAGGAAAAAAGTCATATACGAAAACACATTACCAGAAAACAGATTATTGAATATTACCTGGCATGATAGAGCAGTGGTTATGTTACTTGTTTTGCATGCGGAAGGTCGTAAGTTCAAATCCAACAAGAGGGTAATACTTTTGTCAGGCCTTTTGTATTTTATTATTTATTTTCTTACTTTCTACTTTATTTATTTTCTATTTATAATTTTTTATACATACATATATAATTTCCATGTTTTTTATTCACGAGAATGCTATAGCATATATTATTATATGTTACAATTGAATTCAAACAATGCATTAAACCTTTGTGTCACTCTCAGTCGCGCTGGCGTTGGCGTGTTCGTCTCCAGTGCCAAGAGAGTACCTCAATAGGTGATTACCACGGAGAAATGGATGGCGTTTTCACCAAGTGGCTTAATCAAAAGGTAATCCCAAATCTTCCATCACATACTGTCGTGGTAATAGACAACGCACCTTATACATGTAACACTTCTTGCGATGACCAACGAAATCAAGTACAAAAATGTGATTACATCTTTCTAACAGCGCCATAACATACACACAGGACTCGCGTGCTCGCAATAAATAGATGATTTTTGTTGCAGGCCCAAAAAGCCCAAAAAGCTAAATTGAATACCTATGCATTAAAAAAAATTAACGAAATTGGAATGCTGGGATTTGAACCCACACTTGTATAGTTGATAGACTAGCGCGCTACCACTACGCCATAATATCACACTGCAAGTAGTATGGCCAATAAGTATTACAATACTACGCATACACACATGACTTACCTTTTCTGAAGTGCACTGACCCATGCTATGTTTACAACGGTTCCGAAATAAATAAACTTCAACAATAGCTATTATTGCGTTTAGCTATTATTGCGTTTATATTTGCCGCATGAAATCACAGCTTTTCACAAAAATGCAAATACTAATTGAGCCGCGTCATAACAAAACCAACGTTATGCGTTTGCGACCAGCATGGATCCAGACCAGCCTGCGCATCCGCGCAGTCTGATCAGGATCCACGCTGTTCGCTTACCAACTCTATTACAAGTAGAGGAACTGATATCGAACAGCATGGATCCTGATCAGACTGCGCGGATGCACAGGCTGGTCTGGATCCATGCTGGTCGCAAACGCATAACGTTGGTTTTGTCGTGACGTGGCTTAATTATTTTATGCTGACACGAATAAATAAACTTGACTATAAAATTGGACAACAACTCTACATGGAATCTCTACACACATAGACTACGTTTTGGAAGACCAAACAAAACAGGCAGGAAACACAAACTTATTTCTTACATAAACATATTTAAATGTCAATTCATGAAAATTGGAAGAATGAATGTTTTGAAAATAAGAAACTTGTCTTTATAGTTTTTTTTAAACATAATATCATTTTTAACATAGATATCTTGAATTTTAGGAGAGTCTAACATATTTCGGATACTCTTTCCACGGATTGTAGTATTCAAAGGAGAAGTGTATTGTCAGGATTCAAATTTATATTAAACAATAAATTTATAATCAGTTCAATGAAAACAAACGCTTTTCTTTAGCTTTCGACTTTACGTCTTCTTAAAAAAATGACGTTTATAAAATAATAAATGACGCAACGTTTTTTTATAATTGATATTAATTAACCTGAGTGATATATTGTGGATGATATGGGTTTTATCGCACAGTTACAATGCACTGTCTAACTAGAAAGCATAAAATAAGACCCAGTATCTCACTGGCTAGCAAAGACTTAAACCAAGTATTTCACTGGTAAGCATAGAGTGAGACCTAGTATCGTTCTGGTAAAAATAGAGTTAAACCCAGTATCTTACTGGAAAGCATAGAGTGAGACACAGTTTATCACTGGTAAGCATAGAGTAAAACCAATCATCTTCCTTGTAAGCATAGAGTTAAACCCACTAATGCATTGGTAAGCGTAGAGTCAATCCAAGTTTTTCACTGGTAAGCATAGACTTAAACTAAGTATCTTACTGGGGAGCATAGCCACGCCTGGTAAATGATAGAGCTACCTCTTTCGGAGGTATACGGTAAATCGCTCTATCGCTACTTCCGAGCTAGTGCATATCGCTTAAATCAAGTGTCAAGTGTTTTCATTTTTATATATTTTGTAAATTCTACACCAAATATCAAAAATCGGAGAATGCTATGCGATGAAGATTTAATTTAAGTTTCCAGAAAACGTAAAGTTGTTATACTTGTGTTTGAAATGTAGTTGTAGTGTTGTTTCCCAGTTAGCGAATTCAGCGTTGATTGATTCCTTTGATAGTTGCATTTTGCATGCCGATTTGAAAAACTTTTGTCATCTGATGACATTAAGAAGAAACAGAAATACAGTGACCTATAATACAACGAAAAACAACAACTGGGCAGTGCACGTCTGGAGGGAGTTGGCTGAAAACCGCAACCGACAACCGGAGACTAAGCAATAGCCTGGTTATCCTATTCCCTTTCAAATAGAGCAGCTCCGTTCATGTGCAGAAATGGATTTTTGGTCGCAACAATACATCTGTGAAATTGAAAGGAAAAATGTAGAATTCTATCTTCCAACAACTTTTACTAAACATTGCTGCAAGGCTACAATGGTATCTTCGAAATGAAAAATCCATGCACGTGAACTTGTTAAAACTGAAGATCCTTTTTTCTGAACTTCGCAGAATATTGGATCCACGCATGCGCGAGTTGACTTTACGAAGTCAACTGTTAAAAAGTGGAGTTTTTACCAAAATGTGGAAAAAATGTTTGTCATGGAATTATGAAAAATGGATATACTGTATGATTTTTTAAGATATGTGTTAGTTTCGAACATTGAGATTAATTTTTTCTCTCACTCCATGTCTATTACTTTCAGTGATCAGCCACAAACTGTTTAATTATAATCATGACGGTAAAGGGAATGTACTGTTTCAATAACTTTTATACATGTAAAAGCTTGGATTTATAAATAACCGTATGAAATCACTTTCTAATTTGTTTACTTTATTCGCATGCTACATTCATTGTCTAATTTAAAACTCCGCCCATAACTTCATATTTGCCAGATACCACTTCAATACCTGTTAAAATAACTTTATATACTGTTCGTATATTTGTTACAATTACAATAATAAAAAAAGACTTTGTTCATTTTGACTACTGTTTTGTATGTTCCAAAGAAAATACATTTAATATTCTAATCTCTAGCAAGCCTATCAAAGTTCATGATGAACAGTGTCTTTCGTCCGCCCATTTACCTATAACATACAATTCTGGTAATTGACAAACATATAAGAATATCTGGTCATCAGATGTCTACTAGTTCATCATCATTTGCTGTATTTCTTGCTTTGACGCTCTTTGATGTTTTGCATCAATGCTTTTCTTGTTATATCATGATACACCATTTGCCGCGAAACATGTGAAGGACATTTTAAAAGTCGATGAAAGTTTTTGTTTTGACTTATTTACATATGGATTTATATATTTCTTACCATGATTAATTGTTGCTATTCGTAAAAGATAAGTAGCATTATTGGTGAAAAAGAAATGTACATGCTTTGATTTTTTTATCATCTAATATTACTGACTACAGTAGTGACACAAATAGAACAATGTTTTACTACTGTCATGTCACATAACATTTACATGTCGTGTAAGCCTTGTAAGTATTGGAATTACTTTCCTTAAGGTATAGTCTGATTTTATTGACCTGTCAATTATGCATACATTATAGAACTCATTTAAATATTCGATCCCACTTCGGTTTGGTCCGTGTAGTTTACGAGAATTAATGTGGAGTATATTCGTCATGGATTGAAAGTCACGCCAGCTTAATGTGAAGGTTTTCGTTAATTCACAATGGTACAGTCGGTTAAGAGAATGCCTGATAAATTAGAGGGCTGTGGTTCGATCCTTGCTGTTGCCATTGTTTTAGTACTCTTTCTTTATGTTTTTATTTTAATGGAACAGTTTGTAGTGTGTTTTACAGCATTGAAAAGACATTTATTAATTTAAATCCGTTTTAATTTTAAACATGAATTCTTAAAACATGTTATTTAAAAAGAATATAGATATAACAAAATTAAGTAAAACATAATAAAACAAAACGAACAACATAAAATAATCATATATAGCTCCAATATTGTTGAAAGTATCAATAAGAAAATAAAAACATAGACCTACGCGGTCTCGAACTTAAAACACGTGTGGCACTTAGAGTATAAACTCGTGCTTTACCCTATTGCGCTATATAACGCTAAGTACACTTTGTTCAGAGATACAAATTAAATTAAATTCCATCGTACAGCGTACATCTCACGGAACTTACCGAAAATCTACCGAAGATTAATATACTGTGTGCATCGACCGTGTAATCAGTATGTAATTGACAGGTTAATAAAACCAAACAATAGGTATCGGTGAAAGCATTTTTTCTTAAATTTGATGTCTGGCTCCTCTCTCATGGACAGTGCATACGATAAGTATAATTATGCAAAAATTGATTTACGAATATCCGGAATAATGTACAATAGTACTTAATCTGAATAGAACATGACCTGTGCGTAGGAATGATTTGGTAAAGTATCTGCAATGAGCGCATTTTTTGCGCGGAGCTTCTCATTGATTGATTGATTGATTTCATTCATTTGCTGCATTGCAGCAGCATTTGTGCTTGTAATTATAATTGTACTTCTTTCTTCTTTTAATGTATGGTCTGGTGTTTCTTTCATTTTTCTTTAAAGATATACTGTGCTTAAATTTGATATTAGACAATATTGATAATTGTAACATTGTCTCTTTGTAAACATAAGATAAACATTTTTTGACTTTTCAGAAAGTAGATATGTTATGTTTAAAAGTCTTCACAATATAGGTGGTCACCATGAATATATAGAGAATAACATGCTACTGTCTTTTGATATCAATTTTATCAGGCGTGGCTGATATGGGCTAGAAAGGGCGAGGCTTGCCGAGCCCTTTCTGCCCATATCAGCCGAGCCTGATAAAATTGATATCAAAAGACAGTAGGATGTTTTTCTATTTATCATGTAACACATAATAACTGTCAAAATAACAAAATAATCTACTTTTAAATAGCGAATTTCGTTAAAAAGAGGGATTTTTGTTCAAAGAAATAATTCTTGAAAACAAATTCCTCCGCCCCTGAAACTTAGAATTTGTAATTGGCGGCCATTTTTTCTTTCGACTAGGATAAAAGATACAACAGAATGTAGGCCTAATACGATAACATTCTTACCTTTAATTTAAACATCGATCAGAAAATCCGCTTAGGATCACATAAACTAAACTTTACTGCAATTTTTGTCTTGAATTGTCAAATTCAAAAGTTCACGATAATTTCAATCAAAGAAAAGTCAAACCGGCAATCAAACACAAGCTACACAAACATGCGTCTTATTTTTTAAACGAAACAATTTGTTCACTTATTAAATAATTATCCGGCGAAATAAAGTAAACATTTACAAGTTCTCAAAGAAAACCGTCTAGCCTGTTTATTATGATTACATGTATAGTATGACGTGAACATCGATGATGTCATTTGCAATATAAAAAATGACGTCACTTCATTTAGTTGGTGCATATAAACTATTTGCTATCTAATTTATTCGTAATTGAAATCGAAATAATAAATAAATAAATTTTGCATATTGATTCAAGACTTGTAAGGGTATGAGATTACATTGTAGAATTCACATGCTGATGAAAATGAGAATATAAGCAATTGAAAAAAGTCCGTTAAAATGGGCGGGGCTAATTTTTGATATCAGGTTACTGACGTGATATCAAAAATAATTATCAGGCAAGTGTTTACGTGTTGACGTGAACATCGATGATGTCATTTGCAATATAAATTATGACGTCACTTCATTTAGTTGGAGCTAAAACTATTCGCTATCTAATTTATTCGTAATTGAAATCGAAATTATAGGCCTAAATATCACACCTTGATTCAAGACTTGTAAGGGTATGAGATTACATTGTAGAATTCACATGCTGGTAAAAATGAGAATATAAGCAATTGAAAAAAGTCTGTTAAAATGGGCGGGGCTTATTTTTGATATCAGGTTACTGACCTGATATCAAAAATAATTATCAGGCAAGTGTTATCGGGCAGTTACCATAGTAGTTGCATGATAAATATAGTAACTAGACCTGTAATATGGAATGCAGCTTGCTGGACATTGATTCCTTTATTCAAATTAGACACATTTAGTTAAAATTTCATAGATTTAAATATCTGTGATTAAAAGATGAGCACAGTATATCTTTAAATGATTTAATTAAGAAATAAACGTGGTTGATGTATAATTTTAAGGTAGCTGATGATAAAATGCTGCAAAATCAGTGTTAAACCGCACATAACATGTAAATTATAAATTGGAACTTGAATGTATTTGGGCTCATCTGGAGGCGTGCAGCTTTAAATTTGTTTGTAACTTAAGTCAAGCAGAAAATAACGCGGAAGTAACTATATGGTATCACGTGAATCATGACGTTTGTGTTATGTAGCTGTTGTCAAAACAAAACGGTTCATTACTTTGATACGCCGTGAAACAACCTGGGAATACAAATTGTATAAGAGGTATATTTTACAATATTATTATTGTTGTGATTATATTAAATCAATCGATCATTATTGCTACAACTAACATTTTAAAGCTTCACAATTCATTGAAGTTATGTCAGATTTATATGTGAGAGATTAAGACACACATACAAAATTAATATTAGTGTGTGAAAAACAAGACGGTTATGCCAATCCATTATGACGCATACAAGGGAAATAACCATACCAATTATTGTGTAAACAATAATCAAGATTTATTTACCATTAGTTTTTGCTGAAATACAATTGAAAAACGACTGTTTGTTTAAAATAAACGGAGTTTCCCATTATGGTCTCAGAAGAAAAAATAAAACAAGTTCTTTGGTTGATAATATACGCTTATCATTGCTACTTATCTTTTTACACAACAAATTTATGTAATAATTATTGTTGTGTGCCTCTGGGTGATATAAGAAATATATCATTGGGCCTGAATGGGAACTTCTCGCTGTTAGCGTGATACTCAAACAGAACACATTATATTGCTCTATTGGAGTTTTACATGACATTATAAATGGAGGTAAAATATTTATCTAATGCACAAAATATACCAAGATTCAAAATTGTTAAGACCGATGAACTCAGTCTCAGTTGGTTGCAATAAGGTCTAGGGTTGTATCCCTGTTTTGCACACTATGCTGTTTTATCCTATTAAAATACTCATTATTTTTCAAACCCTGGTATACTTTTCAATTAAAATGATTCCATCTTAGCCATTTTATGGTAAATAAATAATAACAAAAAAGCAAAGATTGTACTCCTGTACAAAACAAAATAAACAATGGCGCATCTAATAGCTGAAATGGTCAGGTTTCCGACACTTATCTCACCCAAGTGAAATTTTCAAAATGCTTGTGAAAAACAGATCTTACGATCTGGATATTTCATTCAGGTTGTGCTCTAATTCTAATCGTAATTACAATATTACAATATAATACGTCCAGTTATGTCCAAAATACGATGTTGAAAAGTCGAAAGAACGATGATTAAAAACTCAAAATAACGAGAAACAACGAAACCACGATGTGAAGGTCGAAAGTACGATGTTGAAAACACGAAATTATATAGAGTTTTCACCATCGTGGTTTCATCATAGAATTTTCACTTACATTTGTATTTTGACTGAAATACCTTTGTTGAAGCATTAGACACAAATGTTGACTTGTCGAGTTTTCATTCGGCGCCCTGCGTAGCGATTACACCACATGGCACAAATCAGCAACTTTATATTCTGTTGGTTGAAGGTTTAAAAATAATCGGTTTGTAACTTTCACTTTTTCTGTCAAAATAATATAATGAAATAGTATTTCAAATATTTATTTAAAATTGTTCGTTTGTATTATTGGTATGTTTAAATTTAATGCGGTTGAAGTACTTTTTTTTATCTGAACCAAAATATCTTAACCAGGGGTAAAACAATTAATTTTGGTGACGTTGGCCATTTTAAAATAATATTTATGCCGTAGCTAACATATTTTTACCGCGGCTCAATTAATATTTTTTTGGCGACGATGGTCAACCATATGTAACATGTTATATTTAGGGCCTATTAGGACTGACTAGAATGTTTCAGACCTATTAAAATCCTAAATATCTTGAAGTCTTTTAATCTCTTCAGTTATAATATAAAGGGAGTGAGTAAAAATATACAAAATTACAATATATCGTATATTGCACGATTCAGGACGTGTTCTATGAATTGTTCAATGCAAACCAAATATAAAGCTGTAAATAGTGCATAATAATAAAATCATGTTGAATATAAACTTGCAAAGGTTTAGAGTCTTTGGTAACGGGTGATATATTTATATTTATCCACAGATTTGAGATATTGAAAGAATGGGGTAAATTAATTACTTCCTTTCACGAAATATATCATGTTAAGTAAATCTTGAAATGTCGCAATTTAACTTTAAAATGGTTATTTCACACACACACACACACGCACGCACGTGCGTGCCGCACGCGCGCACGCACACACACACATATATATATATATATATATATATATATATATATATATATATATATATATATATATATATATATATATATATATATATATATATATATATATATATATATATATATATATATATATATATATATATATATATATAGTAATAGTATGTTTCACTCTGGATGTAGAAGTTATGAAAACATATACATTATTTTTATGGCTGTACAAATTACCATTCTGTTTTTCTGTTTTGATATGCTTAGCACCAATAATGCCCCTAAATTTTAAAGTGACAGTCATTTTTGAGTATATAACCATGTACATTCAAATTTCAAAAAATGCGAAGAGATGAGGTCTCCACGATTTTTGTACATACCGAATCATAATGGGTTTCATTATAATATATTTTTTTCAAAATAATTATAAAGTAAGAGATTTAAAATGTGAAATTTATATTTGCAGACAACATGTCAGCACAGGCTGTTAAAAAATTATCTGTAACCACAAACACTACTATGGATTTACTGGGCTTCTCTGAGGAAATGATTAAATCAAGAGGTGAGATAGTAAAACAATTAGTTTCAATATACACTGACAAGTTACAAACTTTCGGTCCATGTATTAAGATGGACTGTATGGTCACCGGGAGTGCAGGAGAAGGCATTTCAGTATTAGGTAAAAGTGACATTGATTTAATTGAAATATTTCGCAATTTCCTTTGTTTGGACAATGCTCAGGTAGAAAGTGAACTTTGTATGATTCAAACGATTACAGCGGATTCTCCGCCGGGTTATACTAAACTTAATCTTTTAAAAATGAATTCTAATATAGCTGCAATGGGTTTGTTAGGTGTCATTGCTGAATATGACTTAAGAAGTGGTCAAGTGTTACTTCATAGTACCTGCATACGTAATTTGTTTGAAATAGTTAGAAATACACTCGGTCCATATCTTGAGAAGGATGGCGCAAAAACAGAATTACGGAAACAAGAAGGACCGTCCGTTCCTTCTACTTATCATCTTAGAATGCCTTTGATGTCGTGGCTAGATGCATCATGTGATTTTGACTTTGTGATAGCACTGCCTTATATATCGTCGACAGTATTAGATTCTTGGAGGAAACGTGACAGATTTTGGCCACCACAGTCTGTTTGTCAAGACATCATTGATACAGAGGCGTACGTTGTTCCAGTTGGTGCTAGTTGCAGCGAGAATCAGAATTACGAATGGAGAATTTCCTTCACAACAGCTGAAAATCGTCTTGTGTCTCATCTCAATCCGATGCTATTAAAAATTTACATTTTATTTAAAATGGTGAACAAGTATTTGATTAAACCAAAAAGTGATATTCTCACTTCCTACATGATCAAGAATGTTATGTTCTGGATGCCAGAACGTATTGGTCCAGGTTCGTGTAATTCTTCCGAAAGACTGATAAACTTTCTGCTTCAAGCACTCGCTTTTCTACTAAACTGTTTACATTCTAAATTTCTACCTAACTATATGATACAAGAAAGAAATCTACTGCTTGGGAAAGGAAAACCATGTGACATTACACAGCTTACATGTATCATATCAAATCTATTGGACACAGGTGGCTTTTTCATTATTAGGATAGAGAAGCTTAGAGTTAAAATATTGTCCATTGAAAAATGTTTAACAGATGCTAAACGATTTTCTGAAATGAGAGACAAAGTCGAGATAATGCTTTTGCGAATGAATCTTGGCATATTAACAAAGCTGTCCCCTGAAAAATTTTGTCAGTCATCATTCATATATGATGCTATGTTTGAAATGTTCAAAGATCCTTTGTTCTTCGATGTTTTGTTTACATTGATGAAATTTCTGAATCTAGATATGATATCTTTAATTACTAATCCACAACAAATTCGTAAAGCTATAAATGATGTTTTGTTTTCATAAATAGACATGTGTACGTGTACAAAATGAGATTTTTTTACAGAGATTGAAAACTATCACATTACTTCATTAGTTTTTCAAGAAAGAAAGGAAACAGGAAATCAATTCCAGATGTTAAAGAGATCAACAACATTGACATAGACAGTTGTAAACATTAAAAAATGGAAAATAAATGTTTTTAATTGTAGACTCTAAAATAATAATAATGAAATATACAATAATGAATCGATTATTGTTTGACGGAAAGCTTTGTGAAAAGACAAAGAACATATATAATAGATTTTTATTGTATGAAAGTTACGATAGTCACTATAGTATTAAATGTATAAATGTTGGTGCCATAAGCACTCTAACATTTATGTTTTATACTTATGTATTTTATTTGCCACCATGTAATTCCTCTAAACGAATTTTATAAATGTATATATATCAGGGAAATGTTCTAATTGCAAGTTTTTCGAAATTGAATTCAAGATTGATGAGATATATGATTTTATCGTTGGTATAAAAAATGTGTTCGATGAAGGTTGTTCATTTCATATAAATGTCAAAAGAGAAATGTTGTTCTATTGATAGCAGCACATGTATTTTGAACTGAAGAAATCAGGTAAAGTATGTCTTAACATCAGTTTTCACTAGGAATGTGCTGACATTGACCACTGCAATTGCATGAATATTAACCCTTTCACTGCCATAGGGACGGCTTAAGCCGTCGCTGTTATTTTCGGCGTATTTGCCATAAGGACAGCTTTAGCCGTTTCTATAATAATCATAATAATAATAATAATAATAATACATTAATAATAATAATAAAGATAATAATAAATATAAAGAAAATTATACCATCGACAATAATTATTATTATACTAGCATATTTGGAAACATATATAATTATTTTATACTAATAACAAATAATAATAATAATATTAATTAATAATATAGTAATTTCTTAGAAAGCCCTCTGGCAAATAGGTGATCAATAAAACAATAACCATCTGACAGCGAAAGGGTTAAAGCATGTCTATAATTGTTTTATAATGAGAAGAACTGACATTTTCTCAAAAGTAACGTTCCGAAACGGGTTTTGTTCCGAGTAAAATCCCAGATCATTCCATATTGTGATGGCATTTTAATGAACCTGGTTATCTTGACAATTGTGAATATATCGGTTAAGATAACAACTCTGATTCAAAATTCCTTGTTTTATTTTATCTCATGGGATCTCCTCTTTTCCAGATTGTATTACTCTTCACTATGAAAATATTTATCTTAATAATTTACCCAGTGGTATTTTAAGTTAGGTTTTAGTATTGTAATAGAAATAAAAAGATATAGAAAGAGCACGAAGAGACATTTATAATAATTATAAAATATGATATGCATAATAACTTGGATCACAAAAGGGTTAAGTATAGAACTATAAATTAAAACAGAAGGGTCGGAAATATTGGTTGAGCGACACCCTCACTAATATTTGGGATTATTTAAGTTAAACTGAAAATCATTTGCTGTAATGCTTAGAATTGAATAGACGGCACCCTAGGGGGATCTTAAGGAAGCTGCAAATATTATACTTCACATCAGTGTTGTTATATATTTCTGGTCCTTCTGGATCATTGATGTCGCACTTTTGAGTATTGGAAATTGATTACGGCTCAAACCGGTGCTTTGAGGCTTGAGGGATGTGGCGCTTTTTTATTATTCCTCATGTACAGACTCAATCTAACAGAGTGTGCAATTTTCATGTAACATTTGTGTAAGTTTTGCTTCCGACGGATTACTTTTTTTCCCAGAAATGCTCGTAAATCCTTAGATCAAGATGTTCAATTAGTAATTCAGACCAATAAAAATTTAGGAAAACCATTGGTAAGAAGAAATAAAGTTGGTATTGGTAAAACCAAGTTGAAACCAATCATTACAGAAGTTGTAATTTGCATTTGTGGCTTCATTTCTTAAGATAATAATTTTATTCTCAAGATGTGGAAGTCCTTTTAGTAGTCTTTTACTAAACAGATCTATAAAATAAATGTATATAACGCTGATAACCGCAAAATAATATAGAGAAAAAAAGAATCCCTAAAGAAGGTCCAACACAACAAAATTGAAAATGTTGCAGACTCGGTTTCATTGAGCCTGTTCATGGACGGTACTGGAAAGTGCAAGTTACCGTCAACGCCCCCCTAGCACCGGCTTAAGCAGATATCAACATTTGACAAGAAAATGGTGAAATTTTGAATTTAGAAACATCCGCAGAAGTGTTCATACTGCGTTTATCATGAAACCTTCAATGTGACACAGTAGTGCCATTCCATGAAAAGCGGCGTATGGTCCCCAAGTAAAAGAATGCTTTTGCCCTAAACGAAAAAACAATGGACGGAACTAAATAAAATGGAATTTTGAAAGGAGATCTGAGGTTATAAAGCTTGCATATCACAGATAAGAAATCAAAAGACAAATTTAAAAAGCAGGCAACATATCCTAAGGGTGACTATACAGTATTAAGTAGGGACACTTCACAAAAACATGATAGTGATCACTTTAGTAATGATGGTTGACCTTTAAATAAGCAAACTCTTTTCTACGTATTGTCTTCATACAACCGCCTGCGTGGTCGAGGGGTTAGAGTCGATGACTTCTAATCCAGTGACCTCTCTGGCGTGGGTTTGATCCCCGGGAGATGATTTGGTAGTTTAGCACGGAGGAAGGTAGTCTAGTACTGGTGTAACTCTCCAGGAAAGATGGTTAGGAAACTAGCCGCCTATATGACTGAAATACTGTCGGGAAAAGGCGTAAAATGAAACAAACAAACAAACAAACAACTTCGCCACAACATTTCTTGAGACCAGTTTAAAGACCTTAATAGCCAATAGACCAAACTTATCACTATGCAAGTTGTGACATTGATATAATTCAAGAATTTTTACAATTTTCTTTGTTTGGACGATTACAACGGATTCTCCGCCGGGTTTTACCAAACTTAATCTTTTAGAAATGGTTTCTAATAATTATAAGTTCAATGGGTTAGTTAGGTTTCATTTCTGAATATGAATTAAATAGAGGTCTGGTGTTTCTGGGAAGCATTTTTATGCATAATTTCTTAAAAGAAGTAGTGAAACATTAAACCCATATTTTGCGTATGATGGCACATAGAATTTCGGAAACAACAAGGCCAGTCTATTCCTTAAACTTATCATCTTAGAGTGCCTTTATGTCATTTATAAAAGTATCATGTGATTTTAATTTTGTGATGGCAATGCCTTACATATCATCGACAGTATTAGATTCATGGAGCAAACGTGACAGATATTGGCCACCACAGTCTGTTTGTCAAGACATTATAGAGACAGAGGCGTACGTTGTTCCAGTTGGAACTAGTTGTAGCGAGAATCAGAATTTCGAATGGAAAATTTCTTTTCACAACTGCGGAAAGCATTTTTGTGTCTGTTCTCAATCCGGTGCTATTAAAGGTTTATATTTTATTTAAAATGGTTAATAAGTATTTGATTAAACCAAATTGTAATATTCTAAGTTCTTACATGATCAAGAATGTTGTTTTCTGGGTGTCAGAACGTATTGATACAAGTACGTGTAATTCTCCTGAAAGATTGATAGACTTTCTGCTGCAAGCACTTGCTTTTCTACAGAATTGCTTACATTCCAAATATCTACCTAACTATATGATACACAACAGAAATCTACTCCTTGGAAAAGGAAAACCATGTGAGATTACACAGCTCAAATGTATTATATCGAATCTATTGGACACAGGTGGCTTTTTCATTATTAGAATAGAGAAACTTAGAGTAAAAATGGTGTTCATTGAAAAATGTTTAACAGATGCTAAACAGTTTTCTGAAATGAGAGACAAAGTCGAGATAATACTTATGCGAATGAGTATCGACATTATTACAAAGCTTGCCCCTGAAAAAGTATTTCAGTCATCATTCATATAATTATGATGCTATGTTTGAAATGTTCAAAGATTCTTTGTTCTTCGATTTTTTTTTACATTGATGAAATTTCTGAATGTAAATATGATGTCCTTAATGGCTAATCCACAACAAATTAGTAAAGCTATCAATGATGTTTTAAATTCATAAATAGAAATGTGTACATAATGAGAAATTCGTTGACAGAGAATGAAAATTATCACGTTACTTTATTAGTTTTTCAAGAAAGAAAGGAAACAGAAAATCAATTCCAAATGTTAAAGAGATCAACAAGATTGACATAGACTTTTGCAAACATTAAAAAAAATTGGAAAATAAATGTTTATAATTGTAGACTCTAGAATTATAATGATAATGAAATATACAATAATGAATCGATTATTGTTTGACGGAAAGCTTTACAAAAAGACAAAGAACTTATGTAATAGATTTTTATTGTATGAAAGTTCTTAACGATTGTCACTATAGTATTTAATGTATAGAATTTGGTGCCATAAGCACTCTCAATTTATGTATACTATTTATTTATGTTATTTGCCACCATGTAATTCCTCTAAACAGGCGGATGTGAGCGAATTTCTAAATATATCAGAGATGTGTTCTAATTGTAAGTTTTGGCAATTGAATCGCATAATTGGTGAGAAAAATAATTTTATTGTTGGTATAAATAATGCTTTAGATGGAGAGGCTATTGATTTCACATCTAATCTCAAATGAAAATGTTGTTAGGTTTTGGTTTTTTTTTTTTTTTTTTTTTTTTTTTTTTGGGGGGGGGGGGGGATTGGATAGCAGCACATGTATTTTGAACTGAAGAAATCAGGTAAAGTATGTCTTTACATCAGTTTCTACTAGAAATATGCTAACATTGACCATTGTATTACAAGAATGTTAACACATGTCTATAATTTTATTGTAATGAGAAAAATAAACATTTTATCAAAAGTGACGTTCCGGGAGTAATATCCCAGAAATTTAAATGCACCTATTTATTCTGACAAGTGTAAATATATTGGTAATGATAAGAACTCTGATTCAAAATCCCTTGTTTCCTTTGATCTCGTGGGGTCTCCCCTTTTGCAGATTTTATTACTCTTCAATATGAAAATATCGATCTCATTAATTTACTTAAGTAAAACCCAGTATATCACTGGTAAGGATAGAGTAAACCCAGTATCTCACCTGTAAATATAGAGAAAAAACCCAGTTATTCACTGGGAAGTATAGATCAAACCTATTATCTCACTGGTAAAGATAGAGTTAAGCCCAGTGGTAAAAATAGTAAAACAGAGACTGTCACTGGTAAGCATAGAGTATACCCCAGTATCATTCTGGTAAGCATAGTGTAAAAGCCAGTATCTCACTGGTAAGCATAGTGTAAAACCCAGTATCTCACAGGTTAGAACAGAGTAAAACCCAGTACATGTATCACTCTGGTAAGGTTAGAGTATATCTCAGTATGTCACTGGTAAGTATAGACTAAAACCAAGTATCTCATAAAACCCAGTACATGTATCTCACTGGTTAATATAGAGAAAGACCAGTATCTCACTTATTAGAATAGAGTGAAAACCAGTTTCTCACTGGTTTGTATAGACTAAAACCTAGGACCTCTCTGGAAAGCATACAGTAAAACCAAATATCTCACTAGTAAGCATAGAGTAAAACCCAGTATCTCACTAGTAAGCATAGGGGT